ACCCAGTCCACCACCTGGCCTCTCCCCTTCCCCCCAGAGTCCTGGCCAGCCGGAACCACCCAGCAGCTCACCACCGCCACTGTCACCGCCACCACCGCAAGTTCCAGATACTCCCACTCAAACTGAGCCGCCGCATGCGCCGCACGGGCCCAGCAGCCCTGCCGCACCTCAGGCGCCTGACGGTCCATCATCCCCAAGCCCGCCCCCGCTTGCTGCCCCGCCTGGTCCTCGCGTCCCGCCAAGTCCTCGGCACCCACCCAAGCCGCGCACGCCGGCCAAGTCACCCAGCCCACCCCCCAGCCCACCCCCCAGCCCACCCCCAAGTCCTCCCCCCAGCCCACCCCCCAGCCCACCCCCCAGCCCACCCCCCAGCCCACCCCCCAGTCCTCCACCTCGCTTGCAGTCTCCACCGCCGTCACAGCCGCTGCCGTCACCGTCATCGAATTCACTGCCGCCGGCGTCAGTGCCTCCACCACCGCCGCTGCCGCCTCCACCACGGCCGCCGCCTAAGTCTCCTCTGCCATCTCCAGTGTCCAGGCCGCCACCAACAGGTATGTACGTATGTACGTATGTACCTGTGTACGTGTGTACGTGTGTACCCTATGCATGCATGTATGCATGCATGTATGCATGCATGTATGCATGCATGTATGCATGCATGTATGCATGTATGTATGTCACCACCAAGTGTCTTGGTGTGTCTTCGTACATCTGAACCGTGGTCCATGTCCGTATCCGTGTGTGCTCTTATGAGCCGTGAATCGGTGAATGTTAAGGGTACAATGCATGCATGCAGATGAAGTTGCAGATCCATGTTAGGAGACAAACACAACACATGATGTAACTTGTTAACAAGGGGGCTCCGGCTGTAGTAGCTGGCGGCTCCCCGAGTCTCTCCCGAGACGCTGGTGAAGCGCTTCGCGAGTATTTGCAGTTGATACGTGTGCCGTACTGTGCACAAGCTACTATACCGGGGGGTGCAGACATCTGGTCTTAGGACGGGATCCGGATCCGAGGGATGATCCTGGTGATGCTTTTGCTGCTTTTGCTGCTTTTGCTGCTTTTGCTGCTTGTGCTGCTGGACTTCCTGTGGCTGGGGAAAAGCGCAGCCGGTCTGTGGCCTTGCCAACGGCACACGGCACGGCTAGGCAGTATGTGAGAACCGTCACGTCCGCCCTCCTTCAGCTTTATCTGAAGGGCCCACGCAAGCATTATGTGCTAATTGCGCCAAACTTCCCCCCCCCGCACTCATGGGCTCCCGTCTAACATCTCGCTATCCTCCAAAAGAACAGCCCCAGCCATCGTTGTGGGGTTTGCACTGGCCTCCCACGTCACGATGTGTGATGTGTGATGCATGACCACTCGCGCAGGTCCCGCCCGCGAGTACCACTGCAGGAGTCGCAACGGCAGCCTGTACGGCACTGTACTGCAGACCATCAAGCTGCAGCCACCGCTATCCAACAAGGCCGCCGTAGCTGAGTGCCAGAAGCTGTGTGACCAGGCGGCCGATGACTGCTCCGGGGTGAGTAGTTAGATTAGCCTTGAGGACCGAAAACAGCAGCCGGGGAGGGGGAATACCTTTGCGAACAGGAGATTTCCTTGTCTCGCGCTGGTGGGTATTTGGGGCTGTGAATCACAGGCCGGCAAGGCCGCTGTGCACGGGTGTCATGGCTTCGGAGTCCCATAGCTGGTTTGGGAGCTCACCCCTAAGAAAGCTACTTCCTGGGGACACATGCGGAAAGTTACCAGGCGGGATACGACCAGCGGTTCTCTTGCGGCGGCTATCTTGCCCCGGCAAGGCATTCATTCATCCACACATTACACCTGTAATGGCCGCGGCAAGGGGGTTATATGTGGCCACCTTAGGTTCTGTTCTTCTCCACAACGCCTGCAGCCCCCCCGCTCTCCGCACCGATGGTGCGAGCGTGTGCGTGTGTGTGTGTGTGTGCGTATGCGTGTGTGTGCATGTGCGTGTGCGTCTCTGTCCTCTCCCACCAAGGCATCTGACGGTGGCTTGTGTGCCTCGCCCGCCATGTCACGTGTTTCTTTCTTTTTTATTTACCCTTACCAACTCGCCTCGCTCCCCCACCCCGCCGCCACCCTTCCGCCCTGCAGTACTACTACAAGACCACCGGCTTCTGCACCCTCATGACGGGCCATGTAGTGTTCTCCAAGCCATATCCCGCGGATTTCTACGCTTGTATCTTTCACGGCTACAGCCCGGCTGCGCCCGAGGAACCCGTCCTCAGCCCTCCTCCCCTCCACCCTCCGCCGCCTGCACCAGGCCTTCCGCAGCTACCACCCTCCACTCCGCCACCCCTTCAACCATCACCCGCACGGACACCTCCGTCCCCTCCATCACCGCGCACACGGTCGCCTCCACGGACCCCGAAAAGTCCCCCACCATCACCAAAGGCCCCGGTCACCAAGCCGCCGCCGCCATCGAATCCCGGGGTGCCCGGTGTACCGTCAACTCCACCAAGCCTGCCGCCGCCGGAGAAGCCGTCATTGCCGCCGCCGCCGCAGGCAATGCCTCCACCCTCGCCTCTTTCGAAGCCACCCCCAAGGCCCAGGCCAGCTCGCAGCCCGCCACCGTCGTCCTCGCCGCCTCCATCCCCTCCGCCATCCCTGCCGCCGCGGCTGCCTCCGTCGCCGCTGCCGCCTGCCCTGCCTGTCCGCAGCCCGCCGCCTACGCCTTCTCGTCGGCCACCGTTCCCCGTTCTCACTCGCACACCACCCTCCCCGCCGCCCCGTTCGCCACCTGCACCAGGTACGTGAGAAAGGAGAGGGACGCCGCTCTCTCCATACTTGTCATCACTACCAAAAAGCGATGCTACGCGCCCATCTGGAAGTTGTGCAAGTGCAGTTTATAGGCCTCCTGTTCAGACATCGTACCAGCGTGTTACTCCTGTATCTAAATCGCGTTTACGTACTCCTACTTCTTAAGCTGTCATCATTTGGGACTTGTCCGGGTCTTGTGCCCCGCTCCTATTCCTCGCTTTCCCTACGGTGCACCATAATGGGGTTCGTCTACAAGCCCTATGTTCGCCGCTTACTGTGTTCCCTCTTTCTCACCGTGCGTAATCCCGTCGGGTTTGTGGAATACACAGGCTCTAGTCGGGTGTACCGCTGCAAGAACGAGACCAGCGTTTACTCATCACTTCCGGTGCTGCGAGTGTTGAAGCTGTCGCCGCCGCTACGCAGCAGCGCCGCCGTGAAAGAGTGCCGCCGCCGTTGTGACACGTTCGCGGGTGGCGCATGCTCCGGGGTGAGTGGGTGACGCACCTACCAGTGCAAGCTACCACAGGGGCCTATCTGTATAGCTGCTTGCCCGTTTGCCTGTTTGTCTGTCAGTCAGTCAGTCTGTCCGACTACGTAGGTTGCACCCGATGGCCAGTATATTCTGCCTTCTCGTCTCCGTCCTTCATAAGTTTTGTGTCCGCTATATAGTAGGCTTTCCAAGGGCCTCAGTTCTGGTCGATTTATTCCTGGCAAAATATTTGCTTTCGTCTTTCTAACTGTCGATTGGTTGATCGTTTTCTCGGTTTTCTCGATCGTGCAATGGGTATGTTGGTCGGTCAGTGATCGGACAGTCAGTCAGTCGGTCGGTCGGTCGACACCGGTCGGCCCGTAGATCAGTCTATCGGTCGATCCGCCTCTCGGTCTGTCGGTCTGTCGGTATATGCGGGCTAACAAACGCACCTGCAGATGCGCTGGAAGGTGTATCTGTTTTGCGAATAACAGATCCGTACTAGGCACGGCAATTTCATACGAGTTCACCACCCACATTCGTACAAAGGCCCACGCAAAAGCGCACTCATAAACAGGTGTTGTACATGTGTGTACTCTCCCCAACCACTGGTTGACTGGCAGTCAAGCCCCCGCTGTGCCCACCACCTCCCTGCCCGCCGAACTCAGCCGGTGCCAAGTTCCCAGTCCTCTGTGCACCGCACACCCATCAGGGAGTGGCCATCCGGTGGCCACTGCCCGGCTGCTCCCAGACGGCATCCCAGATGACATAGGGCAGTGTCCTGCCACGAACACATCTCCGCACGGAGGTGACATCCTGCCGATGCATGCACAACCTCACTCACATCCGAAATTCCCTGTCATCCCCACGTATCACATGTACGCCATGTCATGAGGAACATTCCGCCGATATTTGGTTTCTTTCCTTTCTTCTGTACGATATCCGTACAGGAGGCCTACTTTCCGCCGACATCATGTCACAGACGCACACAGTTCATCCACCCGCACACATCCCCGCTTATGCGTAACATACGTGTGTATGACACGTGTGTGTGTTTTTCCCTTCCCGCAGTTCTTTTACAAGAACACCGGCTACTGTACGCTGATCGCCGGCGACGCGCGGTTCAGCGGCAAGCTCTATCGCTCCGACATCATCGCCTGCGTATTGCAACGGCAGCCATCGACGCCGCGCTCGTCTTCTTCCCCTCGCCCTCCCCCTCCCCTAGTGAGGGGGTGAGCGACCGGGGACGTAAAGGTTCCCGGAGCCGTATTGCATACTATCACCACCATCACCACCATCACCACCACTTCCACTGCTCCTCAGACAATCGCGTCTTCCACGGACTGTGACTTCTACAGCCACCGATGACGAGCGATCCTGCCATCGCTGGCAGCGCCACAGTCGCCGTACCTAACATCTGAGAGCTGTGTGTTCCAAAATATGGCTGCTGTGGGTTCCGGAATTCTTCGGCGTATTATTGGGAATGCCGTTTGGAGGCAAGGAGGCTGGGGTGCGGTGCAGGATTGCCACCAGTCGGCATGCAGCTGGTTTCGCCCCTTCAGCCACGGACCCTCCCCCCCCCTCCCCCTCGCTCCTCCTCCTCTCCTGCAGACGCCCATGAACGCGCCTAGCCTGGGTTTTCCTTCTGCTGTGCCGTGCCATGTAAATGTCAGCATCGGGCATGATGGCCACCCAAGCGAGCGCGACACAAATGTTTCTGTCTTGACGTGGCTGTAAGCTGTATGTGCATTATTACCTTGTGTGAAATACAGTTCGTTTGATGGCTTACGTGTTGATGATGGAATGGGATGGTAACTTGCACAGCGAGGTCGGTAAGGCCGAGGAGTAGTCCCGTTGCCGCACCTACCCCGCCAACGTGCGGGCCCCTCCTCACTCCTCACTCCCACCAGGACGCGTTCTCTTGAAAAATTTAAAATAAAAATACTTTCACTCCTGCCAGGAAGACTTTTGACGTTTACCTGCGCTTCGGCTTGGCGACTTATTAGCTCTAGTTTGTTTACTTGGCGGGTCCCTTTCTCCCCTGCATTTGTGGTGCGCGTGGCCTAGTTTAGATGAGCAGCTGCAGCTTCTGCTACTGCCGCTGCTGTTGCCACTGCTCATGTCCCCGTGTGTTGTGAGGTAATCTACTAGCATATGAACTGGATTTGCAAAGTGTTGAGGAGGTGAGACCTGAGGCCATCGCTTTTCTGCAGCCGTGCGTCGCAAGCCGTCCGTTTGCTGCAAGAAGAACCTGGAATAGAGTGAAGGCCGGTAGGAGGGAGGAGGAAGGGGCGAGGGGGGATGTTCGGAGGGATGAAAATGTACGTAGGGCGTTGCGAGCGAGGGAGGACGGGGGGGATGGGGAGGGAGCCGCATCAATCCCAATCTGCCTGCTGCCGCGGGGCCTATCCATATTTGTGCGGTCGTGCTTTTGTGAGCCGCAGGTGGCTGGGACCCCATCGCGGTAGAGTCAGGCGCAGCGCGTGCAACTGCGTGCTGCTGCTCTCTTGCAGTACCGCTCAGGGGGAGTAAGGGGACTCGGGGGACTAGCCTCGCATGTCAAAGCGGTGGTTGTGATGCGGCGCGCGCCACGTGAGGTGGTGGTGGTGTTCGCAGCGGACCAGCGCGATGATGGGCCCTTAGCGAAGGGGTATGTATGGAGGGCAAAGTTAGTGGCAAAGGTCCGTGGACGGTTAGCTATGTGCCCCAAAGATGCGCCCTAACGCGTCTCATCCCGTCCTGTCCCTCCTCGCCCTAGCCACATGACCAAAATGCGGAGGATGGCATACCAGGTGGCAGCGCTTGCCGCCCTGCTTCCGGAGCTTTTTACCTTTTAACTGTGCGTGTGCATCCGTCGGATTCGGTCTTGTAGCCTCCTGGTTTGTCTGTCGATCTGCCGGCCTGCCAGCAGCCTGTGATAAGCTTGTCAGTGTGTGTGTGTGTGTGTGTCTGTCTGTCTGTCTGTCTTTCTTCAGACCTGTGTCTTATGTCTGTCTTTGTGGATCTGTCACTGTGCCTCTGCCTGTGTGCTTTTTGAAGAATTGACTTTGGTTGGCGACCTCCCCTTTCCCGCCTTGTGTGCCCTCTCCTGTCTTCCCTTCCCTTTTCTGGCACGTCTAGCTAACTATTCTTTCGTCCGGGGTGAGACCCCCGCCCGCCTGGGTACGCAGAAATATTGCATATTGACTTTTGCTTTGGATGGCAGCCCTGGGATTGGGGTCTTTTATGATAATCACACCTCTGATACCACCCTCGCCGCTCCACTTCTTACTACTATCCATATTGGCACTGTCTTCATAATACACTGCCCGCACACACGCGCATGTCCCCGCGGCCTTTACCGTCGTTTTGGTTTCGGCTGTTGTGAACGCGCACATGCGCACATGCGCACATGCCACCTATTCAGCACAAAGCTCCAAGATACCTGGCCTATAGGTCGCCTGCTGCTGCACGTATGTGTAGCAAGTGGATCCACCTTTGGAAGGAATATCTCCAGGGCAACCTTTACACGTTGTGTGCATATGAGGCTGAGCCATAAGAGCACGAGAGCGTGGCGTAATGGTGTTCGGGGCCCGAGCTGCTGGAATTACAACAAAAACTGACAGGCGGGCGCGAAGGAGGGCCTGGGGCAACTTACCGCTTGCCGTCATACTCTACTGTGTTGGGCGCGTGAGCGATGACAAGCAGTGGAGCTGATCCGACATGTTGCGGAATATGCAGGGCGTGCGTATACCTGTGCACATGAGTTTACGAGCAGCGAAGGTGCTTGTTGCGTCTTTGCTGCGTCCGAGCGCTCTGGGGATTTTTGGTATTGGGGGGGGGCCGCATTAGGCACATGATTTTGTAAACGTTGCAGTACTGTCGTACATATGGCGCGATGGATCTGGATTTCAATACCGTGCGTACAGCGAACTGCCGGTGTGGCGATTGCTCAACTACCAACTCCTCTCGACCTGTCTGGATGCTTGCGTGCATGGATGAGGCTAGGCAGGAGCCTATACTGGCAATTACTTGCTGTGCCGTTTTAAGCATAACGAGTACCGACTTTATGCGAAACACGGGGTGGGTCGCACCGTGATACAGCAGCTGTGGTACTGTGTACGGGCTAGGTACATGCGACTTGCTGTATGTTCAGGAAACGCAACGGCAATAGCTAAGTATATATTCTGGTGCTGACAAGACCAAGATCACGCACCTCTTCCCACGTTGTAACGAACCGGACTGATCTTTGCACAAAAGGAACTCTATGAGCGCTCACCTCGATCTCCACAAGAGCTCGCTTTCTTCAAGAGACACACACACACATACAGACACGCATTGGATGCCCCGAATTCGTAAGAACGCAGGATGCTGTTGCAAGAAGGTGATATAGGAGGTGATGACCGGACGAACAAAGTGTTGACGCCTCTGGACGGCCCTCACTGTCGAGTGGATGTGCGGCGGCCGATTCTTGGCCCCTGTGGACTTACAGTCGTCAACTGGCTGCTGCCCGTATCGTACATCTGCCAGCTCCTAAAAGCACCCATGACAGCGGCACTGGGAACCTAACCTGGCCCTGTTGCTAACGTATCAGCGCCTGCTGTATGTGGCAGCTGTCTGTGGAAGCCTGTCTGTAGAGGCGGTTCGTATCGTTCCCCTCGTCAGCAAATCTCGTGCCGAGAACGCCCCGAGGGTGGAGGTCCCGGTGGGGGAACTCCCACGCATCCCGGAGTTGATGCGTATCAGCGCGCATAGTGCCATGTACGTACATACATACATACGTGCATACATACGTATATGTGTGTGTTACGTGTATACCTACTACCTACTACAAGTGGTGATGATTTTATGGAGGATTCAGGACGCAAGGTCGTTAGCGGCACCCCACTCCGGGCATCTCCGCAGAGGGCCGCCCGCGAGACCCGCGAGAGCGCCCCTCTAGGGGTACATCTCGCTCCGATATACTTTGGAACTTACTTAAAATGTAGAGTGGAAGCCATGTGGTTGCGACGGCACTTTCCCAACCGCGGTGTGATCTCGCAATGGGCAGAATGCTCCCACCCTTGCCCTCTTCCCCCCACAAACACCCGTCACTGTTGGTATTTTGCCACGTGTGTGGGGATACAAATCCAAACGATGACACTCAAACGAGGACGGGGGAGACGAAGGGATTGCGGGATTGGCCCCAGCACGTGTACGGCACTCCACCGTGATGCCCCTCGTCCCGACCGTCTCTTCCCCCCTCTCTGTCTCTCCCTCTCTCTCCCCCCTTCTCTCTCTCTCTCTCTCACACACACACACACACACGCACACACGCACACACACACACACACACACACACACAAAAACCAGTCGATGTCGCCCCGCAATGTCACATATGCTTAGCCTTACATACAACAGACGCACATCCGCTTACAGCGGACCGGGTGCCGCTACAGCACACGGACCCAAGTGGGCCCTCTGTGGAGCCGCACCGCGGACGTGACGGGGGGTGACGGGGGTGTCAGGGGGGGGAGAGGGGTGCAGAAACCCGCACGATGGCGGTGACGGTGACGGGAGCATGCCAACCCAGGATGACATCAGGACGGGTTGGCCAAACCCCTCAACCCACGCCACGCCACCACATCCCCACCACCACCATGGCATCAACAAGACCAAGAACAACACCTGCAATGACGGCACCAGTTTCCAGATTTTTCGTTAACAGGATAGTCCAAAGTGTAAAACTGCTTTCGGCGCCAACAGCGCACCCCCCGATGGTAATCGGAGCTGTGGGCTCGGGGCTTTGTGAACATTTTTTTGCAAAGCTCAGATGCGCGATGAGGGCAAGAGAGACGCCAAGCCGGCCACAATTCTTCCGCTGCCGCGTCGTCCTCATTCGTACGGGTCCTCCTCCTCCTCATCATCATCCGCCGCCGCCGCCGCCGCCGCATCACGATTAAAGTTACCGCTCTACAGTGCGGCGCGCGACGCGGGGAGAGGGAAGGGGGAGGGGAGGGGGGGCCTCCAGCATTGACAGCGAGTAGGAGGGAGGAGTGGGGAGGGCGCTCCTAGCTGGCGGCAGCAGAGGGGGCGCAGCTGAAGTATCCGGGGGAAATACCCGGGGGTTCATTGGGAGGGGGATGTAGCACGTGGAAGAGGAATGCGGGTTCTCAGTCGGGTCACACAAGCGCCTATTTAGGAAACGCCTGCGCACCTTTCAAGCATAATCCCCTGATAAGAATCCCCCTTTTAAAGGGCGGGGTGGGTCAGAAGTCCCACCACCTGCTCTTTCCTAAACGCGCGCAGGCTTAAAACCCCAGCCCGACCCCTTCCTGCCCCAAACACCCAAACTGCCCCAATCCCTCCCCCCTCATAGACACATACATACACACACACGCAAACACGAGAGATGATGGATTCCCGGACCTGGGAAGTCGCTCTCCGAAAGGCCGCCTCATCCCGCTGGTGGTACGGCAGTGCCGCCTGCCGCTTGTACGTCTCCCGCAGGTGGGCCACCTGCACACGTGTGTGCGAACACAGTGTACGAAAATCAGCAAGAACGTGTGAGCCCAGCACACACACACACAAGGTAGAGCCGTCATCACCCCGACACGGATAGCGGTAAAGCGTTACGGAGTTCCGTCCGGGTTTCAAATGCCCGCCTAGTGTTTGTGCTTGTGGTATGTTTGTGTTGTTGTTGTTGTTGTTGTCGGTGTCGGTGCTAGTGTTGGTGTTGTGTTGGTGTTGTGTTGGAGTTGTGTTGGAGTTGTGTTGGAGTTGTGTTGGAGTTGTGTTGGAGTTGTGTTGGAGTTGTGTTGGAGTTGTGTTGGAGTTGTGTTGGAGTTGTGTTGGAGTTGTGTTGGAGTTGTGTTGGAGTTGTGTTGGAGTTGTGTTGGTGTTGGCCGCCCCGCCCACTTACCACCTCCCGGTACGACACCGCAGCCGAACCCGGGGAACAGGGGGCCTCCGCATCTCCCTCGCACAGAGCCAGCAGCTGTGGATCAACAGGCATAGGGTTGGGTTGGGTTGGGTTACCCCGGAGGTGATGGAGGGGGCCCCGTAGGCCCCCCATGCAGGTAAATATCACACACCTTGCCTCCCTGTCCCTTGACCTCCTTCCGCAACTCGCTGATTTGGATGCGTCGCTGGGCAGTAGTCGTTTCCTTTTATGACTTTGGGTTCTGCACCCCATACCATACATCTCCCCCCTTTCCACCCCCCATACGCACCATCCCGACCCGGCCCGGCCCGGCCTGACCTGATTACGTAACACCGCCACGTCAGCACCCACAGCGTGGAGCAGCGCCGGCAGCAGCCCCAGCACCAGGGGGGGCCCCGGACGCCCCCGCCCGCCGCCTGCTGGGCCTCCGCTGCTGCCGTCACCCCCCTCTTCCGCACCCGCCGCTTCCTGATCCTCCGCCGGCGAGGATGGAGGTCGACTTGAGGTGGCTTGGGTGGCCTCTGGTGGCTGGCTTGGGGCAGAGCCCGCCGCGGGCTCCTCAACCGTCCGCACCCGCTCCGCTTCCTCTCCCTCCTTCCGATTGCTCCGAAACCCATCAGCTGCCAGATCCCTCCCGCCCGAGTTTCCGTTGTCGTCCTCCTCCCCCTCGTCCTGCTTCTGGTGGTGGCTGTGGCTGTGGGTGGCGGTCTCCGGATTACCGTCCCCCCCGCCCGTGAGCACCAGCAGCATGTGGTAGGTGCCCACAGAGCGACTGCCTGTGCGGAGCGGGGGAAACAAACGTACTTACATACAGATGGATAGATGTATAGGCAAAGACAGAGGGGCAGACTGACAGACAGATGAACAGATAGGCGCCGTCACACAGACCCACAGCAGGTGGGCGATGACGGAGGTAAAACATAACGAGGGTGTGTTAACTCTGCCCGATTGCGGGAAGATGGACTTGCTTTGCTGCTGGGAAGAAGAAGAAGAAGAAGAAGTCGCCAGGGTCGCCCGAACCGCAAGTCTGGGTCATCGTTTCTTTTCCCGAACTCCCCGTACGGCATTAATACGGCAGAGGCAATATGTACTTGCACCGTTTTGTAGCTGTTTTCAGCCCAATGGGGGCTACACGGCTGGTGCCCAGTGCTGGGCTGCTCACCCATCGCCTCCGCGGCCCCCTGCGCCTGGCTGAGGGCCTTACGGGCACCAGCAGTGAACTCCACATCGGACGGACGCAGACGGGAGCTACTCACGCCGCCGCCACGGCCGCCGCCGCTGCCGCCGTACACCATGGGCGCTACTAGCCCCGTCTGTTCATTCAGCCACTCCCGCACCGAGTCGACGTCGCTGCCGCCGAGTGACGCTACCAGCAGCGCCGCCGCCGAGCTGGCGGAGGATGTGCCCCCTCCGGCGGCCGCCAGGATGCCTAGAAGGAGCTGATCGGGGCCGGCGAACATGCAGCCCTGCCGTACAGCCTGTTCCTTGGCGGCGCGCAGTGCTCGAGTGGTTTCGTCGCTGTACGGCAGGTTGGAGCCGGCAGATGGTCCGGGAGTCGAGGCGGCTGCTGCGACATAGTTAGCGGTGAGGGTGGTTGTGGTGGTTGTGGTGGTTGTATTGCAACGCGGCGGCAACCTCGCTGACGTGGCAGCCCTGGCGGCGCCTGGGGAGCCCAATGCCCTGCCGGAAATCCTTACAGAACATGTAAAAGGGGATGAGGATGGTGAGGAGAGGGAGGAAGGAGGAGAAGGAGCGGGCCGCCGTGACGGGAAGGTGTTGCGGCGGCTGGGGATGACTGCGGGGTGGGTCCTTAGGGGCGAGACGGAGTCGCAGCCTGTAGAGCATGACGTAACGTGAGTAATATGCAAAGGTACTGTCTGGTTAGCGCGGAGACGCTGCTGACCGCCTGCGGGGAGGCGCTCTAGCCCTGGCTTGGTGGCATGGCAACGCAGCGAGCGGCGAAAGCGGATATCTTGGCAGCGCAGCGAGTCAAAACAGGACTCGAGCATATTCTATGTTAGGTGGATCAAATTATGGCTATGGTTGGAGCAGATTGCGTGGATGTGGGCGACGCGTCGACGCAGTGAGCAGCCGAAACTGTTGCTATCGCAAAATTTCGTCAATCCAAGCAGCAATGCATCAATCTTGGAGTCGTTTGTGCTCATGCACAACTATCCAAAGAAGATACATTAAACTACCACGGGTCTTGGTTGACCAGTTTTCGGTCTTTTGGTGCCGTACATCAGCATGAAAATAATTGACGTCTGCCATACTTATAACAGTGGATATGCATGCGCATATCCAACTACGACTAACTGCGCACCTACATCGCCAAAAACATGAACACTTGTCGCTCCATTTCGTCCCGGAATGCGTCCTGCTCGCACTCTCGCGCTCCAGCACGTCTTGTTGGAGCTCGCAGCCGACGACCAGCGGTGTCAGTTCGGGCATTGCTAAAGGCAGTAAGTGCCATTCGTGGACGGAGAGCGCCGTTGTCTGGAAGTTTCGACGCCCGACGGCTGCTGCGAGTGTAACGGGAACAGGGCCCAGGACTCCGCCGATGCTGCCCAACTCGACTATTTGAACAAATTTACCTCCACTGTGGCCCAATTGATCCATCTTAATGCCGCCCGACGGCGTGGCCCTTAAATGACACCCCGACATCCCACAATTTGGAAACGGGCTGTAAGGCCATCCGAAAGCCAGCCTATAAACCCAAGCTGCAGGCCGCTATACTGCTCCTATTCTGCCACAATTAAGCATTTCCTTTTTCCTTCCCACACCTTCTCCCCAACCCGCCGCCATCTCCCTTTTCTCATGCCCTTCACTCCTTACGCTATACCTCCCTCTCCCACATATCCACGCCCGCATATCCAAACCCAAACACATACCCACCCGCCTCCCCTGCCCCTCTCATCCCCACAGAAAGGTCCCTTCGCGGATCAAATTAGCTGGAGTCAAACCACGGACGAGGTGTTGGTGGAGGTGCCCGTGGCGGCGGGGGTGCGCGGTCGCGATGTATCGTTCGAAATCCACCCCCGGCGGCTGAGGCTGGCGGTAGAGGGCCAGGCGGTGCTGGAGGGAGGGTTGGCGGATGCGGGGGAGGTGACCGTGGACGGTGAGGGAGAGGTGGGAGAGGGTATTTGCCCGGCGGGTTTGAAAATGGCGGGAAACGCGCCGGGGGAAGGGGGGCCCTGGTCACCGCGGTCTTGTATGCATCACATCACCACTCATCCACCAAGTACCACCACCCCCTTCCCTCCTCCCCCCTTCCCCCTGTCTTTCCCCGGCACCAGCCTCACTCGCTCGTGGTTCGTCTTCCCCCCTTCCCCCCCTAGCTTCCTCCCCACAACCATTTCCCCCCTCTCGCCGCTTGCCTCTTTCCCCTCCCCCCTGCCTACGTCCCCTCCCCCCTGCCTACGTCCCCTCCCCCCTGCCGTCCATCCAGAGTGTTTTTGGACTCTGGAGACGCGGCCCGACGGCTCCCGCTACGTGGCCCTCACCCTGGCCAAGCGGACCAGCGGCTACATGAGCTGGGAGGCCCTCCTGGAGAGCGATAAACCGGATTGCAGCTTCACACACAGGGTGTGTATGCCCGGGGGGGGGGGAGGAAGGGGGTAAAGACGAACCACGGATGAGTGAAACTGACGGAAAGGGGGGATACGGAGGGGTGATTGAAGGGGGGGAAGGAGAGGAGGGAACGAGGCCGTACAGGCCCGTACAGACCCGAACGGTGAGGAGGGTAAGCGAGGGGTAAGGGATTACGGAGGGGAACTCTCCGTGCCCCGTGCGAGGGATAACCAGCCTTCACCTCGGGGCCGCCTTCCCCAGATCCTCTGCTCATCCCTCTTGGCCCCCCTGCTAATCACACATACATACGCACATACGCACGTCTACAGACATGCACACATACATACATGCACACATACATACATACATACATACATACATACATACATACATACATACATACTCTAGGGTTAGGCACTACTGGTAACGCGCGGCCATTGCCCCCGGGAGATCCCGGGATCGATACCTATCAGGGTGGAAAATCTTTCCGATGGTGGAAAGTATTGCGCCCCTAGTTCATGGACGGTGGTGACTTGGGATAAAGTTAACCTGCGACCAGGAATGGAGGTGGGCCGCTGTCGACCCGGCAGATTCCGTTGGATGCTGGTGGTGGGTGCGGAACCTGAGCGATCCACTGAGAAGTTGACTAGGGTAACTGGAATGAGGGTGCCCCGCAACACCGAGGAAGGCAGGGTTTCGCAGAGTAGCGGCCACGGGTGAAGATATACCCCCCTGTTTCACACATCATACATACATACCTTCACAAAGTCACTCGTATAGCACCACCCTTCAGGTCCTGCTCAGATCGCTAACACACACGAACACATGCGGCCCGCACAGGTGGGACTCAAGATAAGCATTGCGGGTCAACCGGCCGGTACGGTGGTTTGCGGTTTGTACGGCAATGTTGTACCCAAGACGGTTGAGAACTTCCGAGCGCTGGTGACCGGGGAGAAGGGCACCTCCCCGCGGTCCGGGAGGCCGCTGCACCTCAAGGGATGCGGGTCAGTAACCTGTATGTATGTATGTATGTATGTAGTTTGTATGTATGTATGTATGTTGTACGTGTGTTGGGGAAAAGATTTGTTGGTGGCCGCTGTTATGGGTGCCTTGGGTGTGTGGGTGTTGCCGGGCCCTCTCTCGCCATCTCATCCCCCACTAAGGCTGTGTCTGCTACTGCTGCGGCTAACTAACTGTTGCTGCTGCTCTCGCCTGCCCCCTCCCCCCCCCTCCCCCCGCACACACAACACTCACCCGCGATCGCAGATTCCACCGGATTATTCCCGGCTTCATGTTGCAGGTACGGCAGGGTACCGTGTCCACGTGTGTGTATATGTGTATGTGTGTGTTCCCGTGTGCCTTCATCCCAATGCATGCCCGCGTGTTTGTGTGTGTATTCGTGTTTGTACTTCCCAAACGACACGAACCCGAACTCGGGTTGTCCTTTTCCCCCCTTCCCCCCCTTCCCCCGTTGCCTTTCCCAGCCCCCCCTCTTCCTTTGGCCTGTCCGCCCCCCACAACGCCCCAACAAAAGCATAGCCCCCGGTCCGTTTCTGACCAACCCCCCGGGTGCCCTCCTCCCCTGGCCCCCGCCCCCTTTTCCTGAATCCCCGAACACTTGAGTGTTTGCTTGTTGCCGTAATGCGTCGTACACGCCTGGTCCCCCCCACCCCCGCTTGGGCATCTGGGGAAATAGCAGTGATGCGTCATGAATTTGGACTCGTACGGCGGTTGGTTTATTTTGATGACGTTTGATGACGTATCGACACGATACAGTTGCTAGGCTTGCACCTCTTAACCTCCCTTTCTCCTTTTTGCATATCATCATCATCATCATCATCGTCCCTCCCGCCCTTTCCCCCCTCCCCCTCCCCCCGCTCCAGGGAGGGGACTTCACACACGGAGATGGTACGGGCGGGGAGTCCATATATGGGGAGAGGTTCCCGGTAAGGCGGGGAGAAGGGGTGTGTATGTGTATGTACGGATGTGTGGAGGGGGGTATGAGGTTGGGCGGTCCGGGGGGGGAGAGAAAGGCGTCCTTCTAGGGCGGCTTTAGGGTACGGGTGTATGGCCACGTGTGGGGTCCCCCGCTGAACGTGTGTGTATGTTGCTGCGTGTCCTTATTAAGTCCCTCCCCCCAGGATTCCAACCTCCAGACCGCAACCCCCTCCGTCGCCCCTCGTTTTGCTCCCTGCATGTAACGCTCGCCCCCTTGTTTACCCCCTCCGTCTAAACACACACACACGCACCCCACCTCAGGATGAGAACTTCAAGCTGCGCCACGATACGGCGGGTTTGCTGGCTATGGCTAATGCGGGACCCGACACCAACGGGTCTCAGTTCTATATCACCCTGGCACCCCAGGTGTGTCTGTCTGTCTGTATGTGTGTGTTTTGAGGGGGGGTGGGGGGGTAGGGGGGGTAGGGAGGGAGGAGGAAGGAGGTTTGCGTGTTATCTGTTTGCCTTTGTAACCCCACCTCTCTTTAGTGTTTCCCCCGGCTCCTCTCCCCCCGGACCACCCTCCTCGGCCCCCCTCCCCCCCTGGATCAGCCTCATCTGGATGGCAAGCACGTGGTGTTCGGGAAGGTGGAGGTGGGTATGGAGGTTATTCGTACAATGGAGAACGAGGGCAGCAGCAGTGGGCAGGTGGAGCGACCCGTGGTCATTGAGGACTGCGTGGAGGTACGGGGGCGGGTGTGCGGGTGTGAGTGGGGGGGGAAGGAGGCAAACCACCAATTGCAGGGCGTTTAAAGAGGGTTTGATGTGTAGCGGTGTGTGTAGGGGTGTGTGTATGTTTGTGTGTAGGTGCGCAATGTATGTATGTGTGTGAGAGACAGTGGAGACATGTTGGGCGGATCGGCGGGTAAGGGGGGTTCAAAAGCTGATGTGGCTTGCGCGCGTGTGTGTGTGTGTGTGTGTGTGTGTGTGTGTGTATGCAAGTTTGTGTGAGGAGTGAGGATGGTCGGTGAACTGGGGATCTGCTGGAAGGTGTTGATGGAAGGGCTTCTTGTACACACTGCACTATCACTCCCCTCTATTCCCCCTCTCCCCTCGCTCGCTCCGGTATCCGCGTCATTAGCCAGTGGTTCGTCTTAGCCCCCTCTCCCCTCTTTGCCCCTTCCCCCCTGTCCTTGGGATTTGTTGGATTCTTCCAAGTCAGTCGAGGTGTGTCGTACTGCCTTCTCTTCCCCACCCGCCCTTCCCCACCCCAAGCATGTCTTTGTTTCTATACCTCCCCCTCTCCGCAGCAGCACACTCCCCACGGTTTCCCCCCGGTCCCCCCACGTTTCCATCCCACGTTCCCCCCAGTTGCCGCTAGGGCCGCAGGAGTTGGACCGGTTGGCCGAGGAGAACAAGATGTTGAGACTCAACCAGGCTACTGCCTAGCTAGTGGCGGGGGAGGGGAGAGAGAGGGGGGGAGAGGGTTCGTGTGAGCGTATTTTGTAAACCTAGCAGCATCTAAAGCATGGACAGCCGCAGTAGCTGTAGCAGTAGGGCCAAGACGAACGCACACTCGGGGCCCACAAAGAAACACAACACGAGAGCTCGAAAGCACACGATAACGGAAGCCTTCAGCTAATCGATTCTTCGACATAGAGACATACGTACATACTGGTTTCGGATCTGCTTTAGCAGAGTTTATACGGGTGCATACGCGTAGATGGAGCCGCCAATACGGATGATGTCACATCGCCAGTGAATTGACGCCCCTGCTGAAGCCATTACTCAGCGGTTTGTGCGTGGTGAATGTAATAATGTTAGTAGTAATAATTTGCTAGTAAATCTACTCGATAGGCAGCGGCTTTCTATTCTCGCTCCGCACTTTGTGACGCTCAGCTTATCGACGCGAAGATATAAACTAAATACGCAGAGAAACAGTTATTAGCGGCGTATGTGTAAGTACAAGTAATCAGCGTGCTGCTGTCTGCCTGCTGCTGAGCTGGAGCTGTAGCAGCTATCGTCGCGCCGATTTTCTCGCATGCATGGCACATACAAACAAGCACCATAGGCGTTAGGTTGCTTCCGTAGTATCCTGCACGAATTTGACGACCGATGAGGACAGGGAAATACTTGCAGATCAGCGCTTAGGTCTATGCGGCGTAATAATCGTGTGTGCATGTATGGGAAAAGGATGGGTAGCAGTGCAAGTACATGCATGTGCGATACCTGTGCGTGGCTGATGAGACCTCAAGACTTTAGCAGCATAGCATCGGTGTGGCATGGCGTTTCCATTTCCACGTGGAAGGGGTTCCACACCAGAGAGCACTCAGGAGCACTCTGCAGCAGATGACATATGTCGCCAATTGCTTCCGATGTTAATTACGTTGTCACTTATTTTTAAAATACGTGCTGGAAAGTGACAACGTAATTAACATCAATCTTCTTCTCGCACAAGCCAAAATAGATTTACCGGTGCTGCCGCTGTATGTGTAAAGGGTTACTAATTATCATAGTCATCAGCTTTCGTAGCTCACAAACTCCATCAAAAATGCTAAGTTTAGCTTACAGCAAATGTACACGTCCCGTTTTGACAAGTTGGGTGTCGGCTTCAAGGAAGCCGGAAAAAGGGCGGGGCCCCTCTGCATCCGTACAGGCCGGTAGCAAGGGTGGCAAGTGTGACAATTGATGGGTAGTGTCAACGCGGTGGGAGATGTGCTTTGTTGCAGCAGTGCTGATGGTGTGAGAGCTAAGCTTGCACCGGCGGAATCGTCAGCACCGCCTGCGGGCTCCACGCGAATCGCATCCATCCCGGGTGCATGCCGCATGGACAGTGCGGCAGACTGCAAGTCGGAATGCCCGTGCGGGCAAATGGTAACGAAAGCTGGGTGAATTTCGGTGCTGTCTGTGATGTTTATCCCCGAAGCGCCAGCGGCCTCAGCAATCCGCCCCACAGCCGCGGGCTTCATCGGGGCACACCGCAAGTCTCAGGAGGCCCCGTGCATTGGCCAAAGTAAATGTACAAACAAGCAGCTTGTGTATTTCATAGAGAAATGAAAGCAAATTATGTTGGCCTGCTGGTGGCAAGTCGGATTGCCCATGCCGGCAAATGGTAACACAAGCTGGGTGTTCGAGTTATCATACGCCGTCATCTCAGAATTCCATTGTGAGATACGCGGCAGCTTTCGGGATGAAATTTAGCGCGAGAGGCGTTGATGTGACTTTTGAGGTCGGTGAATGGAGGCAGCTAAACTTGTTTGTGCTCATACGGTCTTTGTTAGCTACATGCGAGATACCTTGCAATAGAGAATGCTGTATAGTACCGATAACGCGTTTCAGCCGGGTGAAATATTATGTTTGGTCCGTTACACACTCAAGGCCTGGGAGTTCGAGTTATCATACGCCGTCATCTAAGAATTCAAATATAAGATACGCGGTACCTTTTGAGATGAAATTTAGCGCGAGAAGCGTTGATGTGACTTTGGCCTCGGTCAATTGAGGCAGCCAAACTTGTTTGTGCTCATACGATTTTTGTTGGCTACATGCGAGATACCTTGCAATAGAGAATGCTGTATAGTACCGATAACGCGTTTCAGCCAGGCGAGATATTATGTTTGGTCCGTTACACACACACACACACACACACACACACGGACATGGGCAATCCTACAGGTCGGGGCCCCCCTGGGCGCTTCGCGCTGGGGCCCCGCCCAAAAACGTTGTGACTAACCCTATGCTTGAGGAACAGCGTGCATTCACGCGATCTGGGGTCCTGTGTGGTCAAGTGCGCGGAATCCCACCATGATCTGTCTCTACCGTGAGCTATGTCGGAGGCCACTGCATTTCCATTGGGCTAATCTTCTTCTAAGGTTTTGGAACTCCTTGGTAAAGAGGCCCGAGTGCAACCGAGCGTTCGTTTCAGACCGTGCACTGGCGGTTGAGGGTATCACTAATCGGTGGTCAGGGAAGGTCCGGTCCTTGCCTTCCTAACCAGAATGGCTGCTTTAGACCTTAGGGCCTTCAAACACGGGGATTTGGTTGCTCATTATGCTACCTTAAAGCTGCTTATCAAGACATCCTAAAAGGGTTCTCTAAGCGGACCGATGTGTGTCTGTGTGTGTGTCTGTGTGTGTGTCTGTGTCTGTGTGTGCTAACATTCTTTGGCCGACCCGCGGGGGTTTTCCCACCGGAGTCACCGGACGGGGTTATGAAGGCACATGCCGTATCTGAACCGGATGGGGGGATCTCCTAGTAAGGGGGCAAGGCTGAGATTGCTCGCTCACACCTGGGCTGTGATGCCGCGGCTATTGCAGCAAGTGCTATTGCAGCAAGTGCTCATGCGTTTGTTGAGAACTGGAAGGTTAAAAATGGCCTAATGATTGGGAGCGTGCCGCGTGTACCCACCGAAGGCATTGTGACTGCGGAGTTGTCGAGAATGGGCTGCATGTCTTGAGTGAATGCCCACCGGCCTATGGGGCCTTCGAAGTGAGATATGAGCGGGCAGCAGCAGCAGCAGCAGCAGCACCGGCTGCAGTGAGGGGGGAGACAGCAAATGCTGATAATAGCTGATGAGACACCGCCTCCTGGAGCTCATGCTCGTGCTCGCGAGGTGCATTTTTGGGTACCCTTGTGATTTTCTTCCACTTGGCGCTGAACATCCCACAGAGAGTGCTCGCTCCCGCACCGCCGTACACACCGCCGTACACACATACATACATCCTGCGAGCTGACCAGGAATGGAGTTGATTCGGCAGACTCCGTTGGATGCCGGTTGTGGGTGCGGAACCTGAGCGATCCACTGAGAAGTTGACTAGGGTGACTGGATGAGGGTGCCCCGAAATACCGGGGAAGGCAGGTTTCGCAGGGTAGCTGCCACGGGTGAAGATACGAACCCCCTGTCCCAGACATCATACATCGTACGTACACTTATACACAGTCAAATTACAAACACACAGCAGCACACTACCGCCGAGCGTTGTTGGGTAGCCACCACCCCCAATGCTGCTATTGAAGTAAAGGCTGATATCATTTCAACAGATACCGTTAATCAAAGATAACAACTTTTGTGAACACAGCCGCCACCGCTACGGTCATCTCCTACGTCATCCTGGCTTTTCACATCCTCCTTTCTAGCACGCACATTCAAAGAAAGAGGGGTTTAATAAACTTATGAACTTGCAGAGACCACATGTACATATTTACATACGGTTGCCCGTATATACACGTGCTCATTGTCACCGGCCCCGCGGCACCTCCACCGCATCATCCAATGGACCCGGGCAATCACAACCAGCAGAATTTATAGCTAGCTTCCGCACGCAAACACACACCCTTTGTGCTTACGTACACACGTGCATACAAACATCAACAATCTGATGGTGTAAATGAAGACATCCATCCGGAAAGCTGTATGTCCTGGCTATGCCGGGACTACATACGTATGCATGGACAGATAGGCCCTTCAATATAGAAGTTCGGTAATTTAGGACTCCATGCATATCGACCCGTCCGATTGATAACTCATCCTGCATGATAACGAAGGGGAAGCCAACCACATGCCTGATCAGAAGTCTCTTAGAGCTTGCTGAAATATATATCATGCACATTCTGTGATTGAATGTGCACAACGTCCACCTGCGTGCCTGGTAGACATGCATGTATGTATGCGTGCATCGGCCGGTTACCAGGGGGCTTCCGTCGCTTCTCCGTCCCGGTTTGCGACCGGACAGACAGGCGGACAGAGACACACCCTAGCTCGACCTAGCTCAGTCAGGGGATCCCCGGCTAAAAAAGCTCTTTGTATTTCCCCTTTAAGGATCAGGTGGGTGAAGGTGCACCTTATTCTCCATAAACACAAAGGACGTGTACCCGACGCTTTAAAACAAGCAGGCATTGCGGAACATCCTTTCCGTCTCAATCGAACTAGCTGACGATATTTTCGTTTCCATTCGTTTTTCTGTCTTCCTCCTCAAACTGGATCACCCCTGAATCGCCGTGGGGGTTTCCGTTCCCCAGCCACGCACCCAACACCCACGAGTCAGTCTCCTCTATTGTCAGATGCGCGGCAGGACATTGGCCTTGAAGAAAGAGTTTGCCGCAACGTTTCCAGCCGGCTTGTAGCGGCACACCACGACCGCACAAGAACCGCCTGCGTCGGTCGCCGCACCGCAGCCTAGCGTGGTACTGGACTTCCACACCACCTGGGTGAAGTGCCCGATGTTGCCAAAGTTGGCTTGGTTGTCGGTCCAGGGGTTGTCCGTAAACTTGTAAGACCTGATCTCGCCGTACCAGGTCTTAACGGCATCGTTGCACTTTAATGAACCGAACGTCAGATACAGGTTCTCACCAAACTGGCCCCCGCTGGTGGCGTGTTCTAGACGGCAGGTGGGGCTAGTTAAGCCCTGGGCCCAGACCTGCGCAGTCACAAACACATACATGTCACAGGTTCTTCGCCGTTATATCCTTCTCCACATCGCTCATCATGCAAATGCATGAAATGCAAATACATGCACACACACACACACACACGGCGGCTTGGGTGTCATCGTACGGCGGTTACAGGGGTAACGTGCCGCGTGTGATGCCGTAGGTCGACTGTCCACACAAATCAAGTGAGGAGAAGGGTGATAAAGCTGGCCGCGAGAATGATATACATATGCGGATAATAATAACAATAACAATAACAGTAATAATAATAATAATAATAATAATAATAATAATAATAATAATAATAATAATAATAATAATCGTGCAGACAGAAAAGACGCGCAGCTCGACTCCCAAGGCAATAATAGTGCTAGCTGAGGAGGGAGGAAGGAGGCCGGTTGTTGCCGGTTTGGGGCTTTCAGTGTATTAGTTAGGCGCTTGGCGCTGAACACCTAGCTCGCTTGCTCGCTGTCTTACCTGGGCCTGCTTGGCTAGGGTCTCATCCCAGACCATTGCGGGGCTGCTGTGGTTCGCTCGGTACGCGTTGTGCTGCGCCAGCACTGCAGCAGCGTCCGGGCAACCTGCGTGACATCGCACATGTACGGATGGATGGTCATGATGGCCTGCTGTGTAATTTACCATGCAAGTCGGTGAGCCGTCCTCCGTTAATCTGCCATTTGTGTGTTATGCCATACATATCTTATCCGCAAAGTAACGGAATAGACCGCGATGGAGGGGGGCTTCCAGATATCGTGAGCCCCAACTCGGTGCGCCTCGCTTCTATTTGTAGACGCGGCAGGTGCTGTCGCTTCTGCCAGGAAGGTAAAAATAATTGTCAACTGAATCCGCTCCTTGTTGTAATAGAAAGGAATGGCGCCAGCCAGCCAGCCAAGCCAGCCCTTCTGTGAATTTGTGCTAGCTTTAAGCTAGCTAGGGGAAGGCAACAATAAAATCGGCGCCCAGCTGCAAACGAATTCCGCCGCCTTGGTTGCCATGCCGAATACACGCGGGGTGCGTGTAATGCAACAGCGTGCAAGGTACCGCACCACCCATTTGACCCACCTGTCGACGATTGAGATGATGAGTCCACTTAGACCTCATGTATACACACACATCTCACATCACAACACAATATGCAACCGTCAGACGCGTGTGGCTGCCGGTCTATCTACATTGCCGTTCGGGATGCATCCCATAGCTCCCTCGCATGCATCGAAACCGCAGCAGGAAGCACGAGCCGGTCCGGTGGCCCCGGGGCGGAAGAGGAACTCTTCAAGCGCGTCATTCATCCAACGGATGAAGCCGCAAGGGGATAGGTGGCGGGGAGTGCAGTCCTAGATCCCCGGGTACAAATAGAGCCCAACTGTCCGCAGTACGGGGTTGCAAAACTAACTAAATGCACGCATGTGTTCACACAGCGTTTGAGCTACCAGCAGACGCACCGGCTGTGGAGATCACCGATGAGGGCGACGGCGAGGGCGATGGGGATGGCGACGGTCGTGGCGAGGGAGATGATCGTGGCGGCGGAGGTGCTGGTGGTGGTGGCGACGGCGGCGGTGGTGGTGGTGGCGACTTCGGCGGTGGTGGTGATAACGACGGCGGCGGCGGTGACGACTCATCAATCTTGGTGTAAAAACAGATTCCCCTGGACTGTACCAAGGGTGCCAGGGCGCTCTTTAGCCACCCGGCGCTGTTGAAGCCCTTGCATTTTGGGTCAGCTAAGCAGCGGGTGGCTGCCTTTCCGAGTGCGAGATTGGATATATTGTTGCCGCGAACGTCCACGTCGGCCGATGCAGTGTAACCTTCATAGCTGGCGCAAGCTGCGGTACACCACATGGGAGCGTAGGAATAAGTCAGGAACGTCCACACAACAGGCGGGAGGGAAATGCAGGAGGGAAGACGGGAAGACGATGTATACGCGTCGCCCACAACACAATTAGCTATCACCTATTTTCTTTTTTGATTCTCTTAATTGGAGGGCTTTTCAGGCTGAGGCCTATTTCAATAATAATTGGGGGTCCTGAGCCTTCCCTTTGGTCGCTGTTTTGACTGGTTAATTGCCATTACTTGTCTCATCTGGGTGATTGTCTAGTTTGTATATTAGTCTCTAGTGCAGTGCACGGCCCGCTGGCCCGCTGGCTCTACTCTTCGTGAGTCTGGAGCCCACTGTAACAACCACACACACCTAGGAGTCAGATTTCCTAGTCTAAGTCCGGCCCACCTGACCCGTCCGGCAAATAGTCTGAGCCATCGACAACCAAATGCATCAAATGATCCGCGATAACCGCCAAGGAGTTCCGTTTCGAGCGAGTTGACGTTTTTTGTGCGTTAGCATTAGTTTCTCAGCGATTGATAATCGCCGCCTTCTTCATTTCCTCGTCTGTATGTTCCATTTAGGGTGTATTTCCAGTGCGGATTAAGGCCAGGGATTAGCCCTCTGTCCTCCATCGATACGTGCTCAAACGGCTAAGTTGTTGGCAAACTTACCTCGCCTTTTCAACCTTTGGTTCCCTTATGGAACGAAACTATGTGCTAAGCTCGTACCAAGGACTTCCGTGCCCTAATCCCCGGCCTTAATCCGCACTGGAAATACACCCTTACTTCCGTGACTTACAGCCGACGCACCTTTCGCGCTCAGACTTCTCGTTTGGAGAGACACCAGTACAAATAGAATCATCTAGCTTCAATCGAGTAAAAGTATGGAGTTGTCGCACAGGTTAGATAGTGTTTCCTTAGGGTTTTACCTGCCCTCTGCCACAGCTCTTCACGGCATCCGCATCACGTATAGAGCATCAACTATTCGCGAATTTTTTTATGTATTTGCTGTTCGTTTCTTAAGTCTTTGCAGTGAGCGGCGCCGGGAATCGGGCCTCCTGCCCGTTTCCCCCGTTGTATACCGGTATGCGTTTCGGTGTTGCCATTGGACTAGATCGGGGGCGTTAGTCCAGCCCAGAGGCCGGCAAACCGGTTTCTACGGCTGCGGGAGGGCGTAATTTCGGTCAGTAAACCTAAAAACAATTCAAAGTCAAACACAGAGTTCCAGTTCAGCGCGTGGCCCTACGGGCCCCAATAGAGGCCGCAAATCACGTCTTTTGGTCAAATTTCGGTCATTAGAGACCCGCAGCCTTACGGGGGCTTAAGCCGAATTTCGGCTGCGGTTACTGTGGTACTGCGGACCCGCAGTACCCGCCTTATTTGCCGACCTCTGGTCACCAGTCTAAGTCCCTATCGGCCACTAAGGTCAACATAGAAACGTTGTTTGCCAACTGTGGGTTTGCTATTACAGGTAATCAGGTTTGCCGCCACCTGCAGGATCCGGATGTATCTGGAGCATCTTACCTACACTGCTCAGACGCCGCTAGCACGCGCAAGGTGTATTAGTCCATGCATGTATTATATAACGTCACCGTTGACACCTCTTACCTGTCGGCGCGAAAGCTTCCTTGATGTACAGGCAAGTCCCAGTCGATTTGGTCATGGGAGACCAAGCCCGCTTTAGTTGCCCGTTAGAGTTGTAGGCGACGCAGTTAGCGTCGTTTGTGCACTGCGTAGCCGGTCTGTTGGAGGTTGTAATGGTGTCTCCTACGTGATCCATGTCCGGGTACACCTTGTAGCCTAGGTTCTTGTTACAGGCTGCGGCAGAGCAAGGAGGAACAAAGGATGGCCGGATGACACATGCATATGCATGCTGCGCGCTGCATGATATATGCGCGTGCAGGATTAGGAATCAGGATCGACGACTCAGGATGTCAAGCACCCGCCCCGGCATTCCGTCCATTGTTGGCGAAGACAACTAAAACAACCCATCCATACCGATTTTTTTTAAGTACCGTAGCTCGCTAAGTAAAGGCAAAGTAAAGGCAAAAAAATGTGAGAATACAAACATCAAAGGCTCTGTTCTTACGAACCGAAACAAGGGAACAGGAGGAACAATTACGAACGGACTGCACTCTACCCTCTATGCAAGCAGCAAGCAGACTTTCGGGGATGCCAAAGCAGACAGCTAAGGTTGCTGATGCGCATGCAAATCCACACGCTTCACAAGTGAAAAGCCCGATGGACAGAACGAATGAAGGAAACTTACTGGTTTGGTGTAGCTGCCTCCGTGCCGTCCCTCCATCCGAAAGCACAAATTCGCTGGATCCGGAGTTATCTGCATCGGCATTAAACAACCAGCAAAAATCATGCCAGCTCGGTGCCGGCGGTTCCAACAACCTCGACGGGAAACGGCAGGGGCATCTTGCATTATCGTGTCAGTGCTCGATAGCCTACGGCTATTATCACCTCCTAGCTCCTGCCCAAGTCCAATAGCCTCAGCTGGGGGAATTGCGGAGCTCTGAATGATGCACAGGAATACCGAAACCGTCAGCAGCCGCATCGGCGGGAACATTTGGCTCAGCGGCCGGGTCATGGCGACAAGCCAGCAGCAGTGGCCAGATGCTATCGTTTAGCAGACCCTTGAGAAACAGCTCCCTGCGGACGATACAGGGTGCCGAGGGCCGCAGCGCTACGTTAACGGAACAAGCAGCTAGGCGCGTTTCTCGCTGTCTTAGACACGACAAGGCCAAGGCAATTGTAAAGTAAATTGATCGCACAATAAAACTCGAGAGTCGATTCAATAGTTGGTTTCCGCCCTGCCTAGTCCGTGCGTGAGGAGCATATCATACAGACGAGGATTCCTCTTGCAAAGATCCCAACCCAGCACGACACATCACAAATTTCGGCATAATTGTATTTTGAATATTGCGCTCACTTACTTGTAGTTGGAGCTGTGTAATGCCGCGGGTATCGGAACCTTGGTAAGCCAGGTCGAAGGTTGGGAAATAACCAATGAAATGGAAGCCTTAATAAAACTTTCTTGCTCCCAGGTTATTAGCTCACTCGCCCCATTTCCTTTTATATTCCTGCATGTTTCTGTTTTAGTCGTACTTAGCTCATCTTTCTCACAGTCGTCAAGTGCTTTTCTCTAGCTCAGTCCCGCTAATCTCTGCGACGTCTGTAATTTCGAGCTGCAACATACATCCACATAGACGAATATACGCATGCTCGGTAGAAGCCGTCATGTATCCCGAAAAGGTCAGAAAAAAGCACGAGGCGGGCGCCTGCCACATCGTCCCATGCACACGACGCAGCCTTCCCAAAATTCTCCATAAATTAGCGCTGATAATTCTAGATAAATAAATAAAAACTTTGACTGACCTTTTGCATCCATGTTACGTCCCTGTGGGTATATGAGCAAAATTATTTGAATCCAGACAGACATTAAAGAACAGCGCACCTGTGGCTGTAACAATTCGTCTTATTATATTATAATAATATGAGCTTAATCGTTCTGCACGGCGCGGTGCAACGTTGATCCTTACGGCTGCCGCTCGGAGGTTTATCGCGCAGAACTCAGCAGGGGCTAATGATGAGCCTTGACGTCAATACATAAAAAACAGAATTTATTTAATTACGAATAATTATACTTTGATCCCATTCATCACCCAAATCTTAGCCCCAGCGCGCCAGCAGCAGCAGATGCCTTGCAGCACATTGCAGTAATGCCCATGCAGGCACGCTATGATACCTTGCGCAAATATCTGTATTGAATTATATCTCCCTAGCGCGCTATGCGCATGGCGCGCTCAATGCATTCGGCCGCTGTACATAATGCTTCAAAAACAATGCAAGCTTAATTCAATGGGCATCCGCTATACAGAAAGGTTTACAAGGCCATAACCCACGTATCTTAGGCCGTCCCACCACAAACGCAACTAATTGCATGAGACGTGTGCCACGCTGCGTAACAAGTCAGACATGCAGCACATACGTCGCTGCCGAGCCACGACAGCTCTGTGAGCCTAATTTGCGACTTTGAATTTGGTGATTGTATTGATGGTGTGGTGGTGGTGGTGCGCATGTGTCGTGTGATGGGCGACGAGTGGTTACGAGTACTCATCATTCCTTCGCGCGGCGCTCGTGGATACACAAAACAACCTAGGTACTGAACTCTTATATGCCATTTATTCGTCCAATGTGCGTCAAGCCAGTTAAACCTGAGCAGAACAAGCCCGCCGAAGCAGCGGACACTGATGCTACGGCGCTTCCAGCACGAGCTCGTAAAAAACGGAGTTAAACCTGGAGAAACCCTTCTCCTGCTCGCCATATTCTGCATCGAAAAGTAAATTACCCTGCATTAATGCGCGGTCATATTTTACCTGCTCGCATGCCGTTGTTTGGAGGGTTCTTGCCAAGGAGGAGATGCTGTCGCACCACCCCTGCATGTGCTCCGTGTCCGATGCGCTTCCGCAACCCACGCATACATAGATGACGTGGCTCCCGTTGCAGGAGCGGAATGTTAACTGGTGGGCGCGTGTGCCTACCGCGAGCATCCTGAAGGCCTGAAGGCAAAATCTGGAGCACACATCCGATCGGTCAGAGCACGTCTTGCTGGACTGTCCGGTGTACAGCGAAATCAGACCTGATATGGATTTCACACGCTTTGAGCATATGAAGGACGTTATAAAGTGGGAACCTGAACGTCTGGCGAAGATGCTGGAAAGTATGTGGTCCCACCGCAACGCTTATCGTTCCCTTGGGTCGTTAGTATCCTTCATCACTTGCTTTGTCTGAAGTGCGAGGTAAGAGGGTACTTACGTAACTCACTCTCTCTCTCTCTCTCTCTCTCACACACACACACACACACATACACACATACATCTCACACATACACACACACACACATACACACACAGATACACACACAGATACACACACAGATACACACACAGATACACACACAGATACACACACAGATACACACACAGATACACACACAGATACACACACAGATACACACACAGATACACACACATACACACACATACACACACAGATACACACACACATACACACACATACACACACATACACACACATACACACACATACACACACATACACACACATACACACACATACACACACATACACACACATACACACACATACACACACATACACACACATACACACACATACACACACATACACACATACGCCATGTGCCACATGGGCGTACCAGGCTGGCTGGCATATTGCCAGGCTAGCTGGCACATACATACAGCGTTTTTTTTGCGGAATATACTCCGAATTCGGAATAAGAAATTGTTCGCGGTCCTGAAAATTAAGGATACATATACTAGGGTTTGGCACTACTGGTAACGCGCGGCCATTGCCCCCGGGAGATCCCGGGATCGATACCCGTTAGGGTCTAAAATCCTTCCGATGGTGGAAGGTATTGCGCCCCTAGTTGATGGACGGTGGTGACCTGGGATAAAGTTAACCTGCGAGCTCACCAGGAATAGAGTTGGGCCGCTGTCGACCCGGCAGATTCCGTTGGACGCTGGTGGTGGGTGCGGAACCTGAGCGATCCACTGAGTAGTTGACTAGGGTGACTGGATGAGGGTGCCCGAAATACCGCGGAAGGCAGGGTTTCGCAGGGTAGCTGCCACGGGCGAAGATACACCCCCCTGTTTCACACATATAATGTTCCAACCGTACAAGTTCATTCCTCCAGCCAAAAATGGACTGTCCATGCCAAAGCCGCTAGGATCTTACAGGAGACATATATGTTAACCATATCATAGTACTTTAATGCCATGGAAACTGTTAGGAAGGTCACGCCCGAAAGTCAACGAGGAATCGGACTGTTTCTGACCGGACCAAACGCTGCAAAATATTCGGACCCGAAGCTCCCAAAGCATGGCAGGCCATTAAAGCAGATATTAAACTTCACTGAAGCCATTAGCGACGTTAACGAAGAGGTCGTAGGCAATGTGGACGCAATGCTGCAGCCAGCCGACGACAATGACGCCACTCCGGTTGTCAACAGCGAGCGGGCCAAACGTCAACGTTCTTCATATGAAGACAATCGCAATGGGCCAGGAAACACGGGCGTCGAGGTCAATGGCAGCAGCAACCCCGGCGCTGCAGCTAAGACACCTAACCCCACACTCCACGGCACAAAGCCGCCCCGACCGCAGACACAGCGGGTCGTGAAGGGGCAGAGCGACGGCGCATGGCTGGAGAAGAAGGACAAGCATCCCCTCAAGTGGCAGCTGTACTTTGGAGCTATGTTTACATGGGCGCAGTGCATTACGGCGGATGTGAGTAAGGGGGAGGTGCACGACATGGTGCGCTGCGGCCCATGCTCCCTGCACAAAGGGCGCGAGTACGTCATTGAGTGCCGGAGGGAGACCCTTGCATCACACGATACCTCCGCCGGGCACATGAAGGCTGTCAATGCAGCTCAGCTTCGGGAGGGTGAACTGGCACTGCAGAAGCTAAAGATGCAGAGCCTGGCGCAGCTCTTCACGCCCGGCCCGGTAACTCCGAGGTGGAGCAGGCCCGCCTGCAGCAGCTCCGCTTCCTCTTCTGGCAGCTGGTGTGGGCCGCACCATGACCGACTACAAGGTCGCTAAGGACATGTTCAGGCTGCTGCACGTCCGCAAGCGGACAGCTGGACAAGCACCTGGCACTGCGCGTGCGCATGTTCATGTTCACGCAAGACCTTTACGACCAGCACACGTTCCCCTTTGAGGTGGCACTGGAGAAGTGGAAGGCCGTCAGCAGCAGGGGCCGGTACATAATGAACCGCTAACTAGCATGCAGCATCAACAGCAGGGGCTGCAACCAACCGCAGAGGTTGCGTTTGGCGGTTCTGGTTTGATTGCTGCTGTGCATCATTGCTTTTGCAATCTGGAAAGTCTTGTAGTGTTATCTTTCAACGTGATGCAAAACGAACGATGGTGAAGAACTCTATTCGATCAGTGCTTGAGTAGGGGTTAACTGGTTTGTGTTTGCTAAAAAAAACACGTGCGCACCCTTACTTGGTTATATACCGCTGCTAAGATCAATTTCAGCTTGGAAAAGGCTGCATGACACCCACCCTTCAGTATACTTGACGGACTGAATGCATGCAGTATTTCGGCCCTCTCCACATTCCTTTAGTCTGGGTCTCTCTCTCTCTCTCTCTCTCTCTCTCTCTCTCTCTCTCTCTCTCTCTGTATTTGTGTGTATGTGTGTGTGCTACATGGTCGTGGGGTGCGTTCCCCGTACCTGCAAACCGCCCAATACGAGCCGAGGGCTCAAGGGCTGCCAGATCGCCTATAAGTACCAGTCTGGATCTGGAGGACTCACATACAGCCACAGCCACAGCCACAGCCGCAGCCACAGCCACAGCCCCACAACCCCACGGCGGATCCAGCCATAAATGCATGCGTAAACCGAGCCGGGGTGGGTCTGTTTTACCCCGTGCTCCGTGCCCTAAGACGGCCATGGATGACCAAACAGTGCTCAGTGTGCCCGGTATGTGCGTGGTGGTTTCAGAGGGCTCCAAGACTTACAAAGAGTAGAGCCAGCGCGCCAGCTGGCCCGGTGCCAGCTGGCCCGGTGCCAGCTAATATCCTGGACCCCGGCCTAATCAGGCAGCTCATATATTTTGTTTTTATCCTTGTTACGTGGTTGCCTCCTGAGTACGGAGATGTTCAGGCTTTTCATTGAAATTTTGGCTGACATGGTTGCCGAGAGGGATATCCCTCTCGGCGAGGTAAGGCGAACCACCGATGGTTCGCCTTAGGGCGCCTCTCGTAAGGTAAGTGGCGCCCCTGTTACAATGCCTCTGCACGCGGACGGCCTTAGACTAGTTGCCCCCTCTAGCCGTTGTATGCAGTCCTTGTTGAAAACAGACATTGTTTGTGAGTGTAGCTCGATCTTCGGACTCAGGCCTAATACGGCCTAATATCCGTAAATGTGAACTAATGGTGTTTTCGCACTCAGCGGAGCTCTCGCAAATGTCTGCCTCAATAAGTGCAATACGTTCTGCATCTTTGTGGTGAATCGATACCGGTTGCCGTGCCCGTCACCGCCGTGCGATATCCCTTCAATGTTGCTGTGAGCTAGGCATTTGGCGCGGTGTGTGCCCCGCGCATATAAACCCAGAAATCGGTTACCGGAAATCGGCACCGGTACGGTTACCGCTTGCTGAACCCGTTTGCTGAACCCGTGTCAGCGGGTTCGCGAGGCTGAACCTGCTTAGGTCGCCTGATTAGGACTTTCGCACCATACCAGCAACTGAACAGAGATTCGCTCCATTAATAAGCTAAATTGAGGCTTCTGAAGGATAGATGCGCTATTTGATCTGCTGGGCATCGATCCAGGTTGCAACACGTATACGTGGTCTGGAGCGATGCCTTTTTTTGTTGTATTTATGTGTGTACAGGTACGTATTAAACTGATAAGTTAGTCATATTTTTTTCGCCTTGCCTGCTGATTCAGATTTCGACTTGCTTCCTTTGCTCAAACACTCTTACTTAATAACCATCTTGGCGCAAAATTGTGTGGCGTAAAAGTGCGTCTTAAATGGTTGGTTGCGTGTATATGTGTGTCACCTTACATGCGGCCCTGATGCCTGCCGCGCGGTCCAAGGGCTTTTTGAAAATCTTCCGACAATACCTCACTACGGTTAAGCAAGCACAGTAGATGCTAGGCCCCAACAATGGTAATCGACTCAGGCGCGCTTCATAAAATCAAAAGAGTCTAGCAGAGGCACTTGGGCTTTTAATACTAAATACGTTGTCTCGCATTATACAGCTATAAATAGGTGATTGAGACGACCGGCATCAGGCTCAGCAGCGACACCCGCTCCATCCGGTGAAGGATACGATTGAGTACGTTGCTCATCTAGATTGCGCCATTCATGCCAAGGAGGTTGCGTGCACAACCCAAAGGCCCTTGCCGGCCGTCCCTGCTGCCGTAGTCCTTACAAGCCAGTCACGCACATGATGATGCGCACGGCGCAAATTGATGAAGGGCTTTCGAGCGCGCACATACTGCGTAGTAGGCGGATAAGCCTTTGCATATTAATCAAACTACCTAAATAAGCTGTACAACTTATGGCGCGCTGCCGTACATGGCAACACCTACCCCAGATGACTTCACCTCGGAGATAGCTGACAGCTTGTGTGCAGAAAGCTGCTGGGGCAGCGCGCAATATCGCACACGCAGAGAGAGACCTACCATAACATACACACACATGCATACATACGCGCACACACACACACACGGATACGCAAGCACACGCTGGTGGCTTTATTTTGCCCACCTTTATCGCACTACTCGCACATACATCATCATGGCAGTGTTACCTGCGCTACAAATCTACTGGGAGACGTAGCAAAGCATATGCTCCCGCTAGCTAGTGGCTAGCTGGCTTCACGACGGAGAGCGGTTAGTTGCCGAGCACCCCTTTGCCAGCATTGCCGTACCCAATGCCTCGTGGAAGGGGCGGTACGTATGTAAAAAGGACTTGCTACTCATCAAGCCAGCAGACGCTCTCGCTCCCCGGTGCCGTCTGATGAGAGCTTGTTTGCTGCATCCAGCAACCAACCAACCGACTAACCGACCAACCAACCACCTTATGAACAGTTGTACCGCCAGAATGGTGCCAACCCTTGAATAATGGCAACTGACGAATGGACTAGCAAACAAGCTAATCGAGTAGCTAATTCAGTAGAGGCATGCAGCAATCAGTCATAAATCCATGTAACCAATAGTTCAATCATAAATCAGATTAACGAGATTTAGTGTTGTTGTTTGAATACTACCGATACCGGTACGTGTGCTACTGCTGTGGGGTACGGCTGTCTGGCTGGGCCGCTGGGCGGGTAGTACGGGTAGAGAGTGCACATCATCTACCCAGACTGCAGGGTTTTTATGTACAGGCAGGAGCCTGCGAGGGGGATCATGGGGCTGACGGCCGTCAGCGTCAAGCCGTCGCCATTGAAACCCATGCAACGTGCGTTGGCGGTGCAGGCAGTCGCCGCGTCGGCTAGAAGGCTGTACTGCCCGAGCAGAATGTTCTTGAACTGGCTGGCAGGTACGGCGAGGTCGACGCCTGAGATCACGCTGAATCCCGGAATTGCCACACAACCTGCACAAAATATAAAACGACAGTCGATGCCAGAATCGGACAAATGAAGGTCTTAGGATCGCGCTTGGTGCTCTGCGTTCAATGTTTGCAGGAAGGCGATTAAGACTGAGGGCGCATCGGAGGGCGCGCACTGCCCCGATCAACCCGTGAACATGGAACACGGTGGATGTACTTTAGGGTTTAGGCACACAACGCGGGAGGACAGCCGACAGCGGCATCAGAGCAAGAAATAAATGGCTATGAATCCTTGTGTATGTATGTGCGTGCGTACATGTGTAGGTGTGTAGTGTGCATGTACGTGATACACAGAGTAGCGATTTAGGGAAGAACCCAACTCCGTACCGGTGGGATTTTCAGTCACCGGCGTCATCGGCGGGGGTATAGACGGCGGTGGTAGAGACGGCGGAGGCGATGACGGAGGCGTCAGCGGTGGCGGTGGCGGCGGCGGTGGCGATGGCGGCGGCGGTGACGGTGAGGGCGGTGGTGGCGGAGGGGACGGCGGTGACGGCGGCAGCGGAGAAGGCGGAGGCGGCGACGGTCGCGGTGGCGGCCGTGGAGGTGACGGGGGCCGCGGTGACGGCGGCCGTGGAGGTGGCGACGGCGGCCGCGGTGGCGGCGATGGTGGCGATGGGGGAGAAGGGAGCTTTGTCCAGAGGCAGAAGCCAGGACGCCTGGCTGTCGGCACTACCAGAGTCTTTGTGTAGCCGTCGGAGTTGAATCCCTTGCACAGGCTGTTGTTACGGCAAAAGGCCACCGCGTCGTTCAGGTTGCTGAAAAAGCGAAGGTCGTCTGCAGAGTGATCCACATCGGCTTTGACAGTGAAGCCAGCGAAGTTCTGACACACTGCAGGCACCCCGGAGTGGTGAATAAGGGAGGTGAATTATGAGATACAGGGTTTGGGTTAGGCTGTCGGAGGCTCAGCTGTGGGGACAGTGAGGGCCTCAACTCATCCGGGTCTGGTGCGACCACACGATGTGAGTGCATACACACAGGGAACGCATACACACCGCCACACAGCCCGCCAAACGCCAGGTATACCCGCCAAACGCCCCTAGGTTAGTCACTGGTACAGCGATGGAAGGCTAAAAGGCCAAGCTCACGCGCGCGAGAGAGGGAGAGAGAGAGAGAGAGAGAGAGAGAGAGGGGGAGAGAGAGCGTTTCAGGATCGCTATTTGCCAAGACGGACGGTGGCGATGGAGGGTTGAAGATTTCGTGAAGTAATCCGGTTCGGGCCCCAATAGGGTTTATGGTGCCGCTGCTGTTTGCCCAGAACGCGCTAACCTACCACCTACCCGTGGCGGGGGGAGGGACCGGCGGAGATGGCTTCGGCGGAGATGGTGGTGGCGGCCTCTTAGCATACAGACACACGCCGGGTGCCGAAACGGTGGCGTTGACGGCGGATTTAGTCCAGCCAGCGCTATTGAAGCCATTGCAGAGCGGGTTTGCCGTACAGGCGCTGGCAGCGAGCGTTACGTTGCCGTGTAAGGTGATGTTATTGTTGGGTTGGTCCACATCAGACCGTACAGTGAATCCACTCACAGCCGGGCATACAGTGCCTGTTGTCCGGATCGGACGCACGCGCGTCCACATGTGCCACAAACGACAAAAGCGGCGGCGACAGCGGTATCAGCATCAGCAGTGGCATCAGCAGTAGCAGCAGTGGTATCAACAGCAGTGGTGTCAGCAGCAGTAGTACTAGTAGCAGTAGCAACAGCAGTAGCGTGAATAACGGCAGCAGCAGAAGCAGCAGCAATAGCATGAATAACGGCAACAGCAACAGCAAAGAATAGCAAGCATTAGCAGCACAGTAGCAAGAGTCGCAAGCATTAGCAGTTGCAGCAGTTACAGCAGTAGCAGTAGCAGTAGCAAGAGTAGCAAGCATTAGCAGCAGCAGCAGCAACAACAACACCAGTAGCAGCAACAGCACCAGTAACGGCAGCATCAGCAATAGCAGCAGCACCAGTAACGGCAGCATCAGCAATAGCAGTAGCAGCAATAGCAGCAGCAGCAATAGCAGTAGCAGCAGCAGCAATAGCAGCAGCAGCAATAGCAGCATCCACCGACCTAGCCCCACCCAAACACTCCAAGCCAACACTGACTTGCATGCCTAATTAATTCGCTTCTTAACATATCGCCATAAACGCACACGCACACACACATCACTGCACATCCCTGCCTCGCCTCGCATGGGTTCACACATACATCCCACCCACCTGTTGGCGGCAGTGGCGGCGGTGATGAAGCGCGTGGAGGTGGCCGCGGTGATGGCGGTGGCAAGATCTTGACGTAGAGGCAGACGTCTGCCTTGAACTTGGCGGGGATCACAAATGTCTTTAGCCAGCCCTCGCTGTTAAAGCCCTTGCATGCAGGATCCGCATTGCAGCTCGCAATGGCCTCGAACGGATCTTGGATCTGGATCAGATCGTCGCCATTATGGTCAAAGTTCGTAAGGGTGTCGTAGCCCGGAATGCCGTACATGCAATCTGCATTGTCGGGTGCGAGGACGCAAGTGCACGGCACAGATGGGTCAGTAAGGTAAGTAGGCGGTAAGGTTGTAGGGACGGGAAAGGGTGCCAGCGGACAGTTAAGTAGGTGAGTAGGCAGGAAACTAGGCAGGCATGTGGGTGGATGGGTAGACGGGGGGTAGATGGACAGTTAGAGGATAGATGTATAGGTGGGTAGGTGGGCAGGTAGGTGAATAAAAAAAGACAGCTCTCCGCATAGGACCACAAGGAGTTGGCCAGGCGGGCGGGTAGTGGAGCTAGGTAGACAGACCTGCCCGGTTACCTAGAGTGCAGGTTGCTGGCTGTCAGGCCCCAATGGGAAGCCCCTTCACACGCTCATGCCCATCATGCGCTTGATATGTATCAATATTAAATTGATTTTAGTTTCCTTGTCCCGGCATTCCATCCTCCGCGTGCAGGCATTCCACCTTCCTTCCCAAGACATACACGGAAAGTCGCCCCTGCTCCCCGCCAGATCAACATGGGCTGTTGCATCCCGATCGGAGCGCTCTCCCCCATGGCAAGCAGCAATGGTGCAGGGCCTTCATGGACTGTTTAATGAAGCGCAAGTCGAGAAGCAGCATGCGGAGGGTAGACTACACGAGGGGCTGATCCGCGGTTGGTGGCTGCGCATTTCGGCCGTCGCTATGCTGTCAGTGTAATGAGGCTGCCTCAACATACTATGTCACACACATAGCTGTCCACGTAGCGCCAATGCAGAGCTTCTTTCTCTACGTCCCTCCAGACCTCCCTCTTCCAGTCGATTTTTATTAGGCCTTTTTCGTCATCCGCCCTTAACGGAACAAACACATTCATGTGCGCTATGTCTTTCGATGTAAGCAATTTGCCCTTCTGCCAAACAAATGCTAGATCCCATGCACACCTACTTCCACTGATTTGCAGCAGTTGGCGACTACCGCTGCTGGCTGCAGACGTAGTGACAGCTGCGGCGCGGACGAAAAGGGCACACCCTTGCAGCAGCAGGATTGCCGCTACCGCCCACAACTCCTGCCTTATCATCCTGCGCGCCCATCGCTGCCGGTCCGCAGAAGGTAAACGTCCCGAAATTCCCATCGTCAAAAGGTTGGTAAGTTCTGAAAAATCCGTCTGTTAGCCGGCTAAGAGGTTGAACTTTTTCTGCTCGTACTCCTGCTTATTTTGTCGGATGCGGCGACAACAGCACCAAAAGCGGTTCTGCCAATCGACGATGCTGCTGTCTGGCCTGTGTGTGAGCACGCCCTGTTGCCAAATTGGTATCGATGGATGGAGGAACCGTAACAGCAGGTCCACAGAGTCCCCAACTAAGCAACCTGCACCGCAAATAGGAAAGGAAGCGGGCGGAGTGATGAAGCGGGCGGGCGGCATTGTTCAATAACATGAAAAAAGGCTCTCTACCGGCGGAGCCGTTGTGCCCTTGTGCGATAGGAGATAGGGGGATGCTGGCCTTCCTAAGTTCTCCGCTTCATGAAACCGTACGGAAGCACCAGTGTTCTGTACGGTCGCCGCGAGTTCAGGAAGGAGACAAGAGTAAAACCCCAAGTCGCGCGCTGGGTAGCTATACTGGTGATGTAATGGTCGCACGTCACGTGGCTCCTAGCTAGGCTAGGGCTCATGCACGGGCACCGGAGCGGGGGGAGGTTAAGGCTTGTGCGGCAGAGCGATGCCGCTCCTAAATCAGACATGTTCAAAACGGGCAAGGGTTGTCGACCGAATGCCATGGTGAGGTGAAGTGAGGTGAGGTGAGGTGAGGTCACTGCTGCTGCAATTCCTGTCCGAGGTTCGGTCGGATGCCGCCGGGTGCTTAAAGGCCAAAGCCGAGACGGGGCCCCAGTGGGCAGTCGGCCCCACCGCACACACTCAAGTGGCTGGTGACTGCGTCGCTCAGCCCCGGTGCCCGTGGCTGGTGTCGTACCGCACTGGCGATGACCACTGAGGTAACAGCGTCGCAGCTAATGGAACTATTTGGGTAGGTATGACTGAGCGTAAGAAGTAGCACAATGACCGAGGTTACTTCGTCCAACCAACATGCCGCAAAATGGTCTCATTCGCTTTTGCCATAATCCCGCTCAGCTTCAACCAAAAAGCCGCACATAACGCAGCTAATTTTATATCGCGATGGAGCCATCTATTGCTACCAAGTCGCACGCCATTAGTCCAGCTTCACACCGCGTCCGATTGCCGCGCATTGACGATGCAGAGCAAAAAAAATTGCCAACGAAGATTAGCACCTACTAACGTACGTACCTTTCTTGAGCAGCTCAGTTGGCTGTGGCTTTCAAGGTAGCTGGTCGGTTCTGGCCGATACTGGACAGTCTTTTCCAGCACCAGCTATCGGAAGTAATCTCCCGTTGAAACGCTCCTCAGGGAGTAGATGTTTTATTGTTCAACACCCCGCAGCAATTCATTGAGAGTTTGATGCGGATAGGACAGCAGCTTCAGGTGCCGTAGCAGACGCGGCAGGCACCCTTTGCATTCATATGCCGCGGCCCATCCGCCCTTCAGTTGATTTGCTACGTACGGCCAGTACGGCCAGCCGTCGATTGACAAGCTAAGGGGAAGGTCACGCGCCACGCGCGCCCCATGTGAAGCGTAGTCAAGCTGACACCGGGGCCCAACGTTTATCACGGAAAAGTTAGATTTCTTAGGCTGATCCATGCTTCGCTACAGCCGATGGTGCTACTAAGAAGTGCTCCATGACTTGTACTTCCGAGGTGAATAGGAAGCAGAATAACGGCCGCGAAGGTATTGTGTTTTATGTTATGAAGGCAGGTCGAAGGTTGCACACTTGCGACGAACCGCACTTTCATTCCAGGATTTATGTAATTTATATTCATTGCTAATCGCAGAAGCTAATAGATTGTATGATTGAAGCAAAGGCCGGGTTCAGTTGCGCTTCAATTTGCTGCAGGGTACAGTAGGTGGGCGCCTAATCAGCGTACCGCCGGAATGGGAGAAAGAACTAGCCGCGGATAGCCATACAGTAGCCGTACTGTGCCTGAGAATAGGGGAAGGGCAGGCGCGTGCATCCACGATTCTGTGTTCGGACGAATTTATGCCCTTCTGGGCAGCGGTATCTGCTTCCTTCTTGGTTTGCGGTTATCAATTTGTAATAATCCTTTGCATTCGATGGGCATTATAGTTATAACTTACCTTGCATGTTAACTTAGCAAATCCGTAGACGTGTACTTGATGGAGCAGTACTAATGATTATTGACATGAACTGCTTACAAAAGAATGTGTCCAGGCTGCGTAATATCAACTGGTACTGATCTCAAGTTATCTATTATCAACTGCTTGCGCGCCGGTCAGCAGTTGATACTGTAGCAGTGACGCGTGACATGACCAGTAAGCGAGCGGATGCGCTGCGGTGCATCCGCACTTTATGCATCTAAATATTATGTTATCGATCCCACAAACAATTTCATGATCGGTGCATTATCGTCCCGGTGCTGCATCCGTTCTTGAGCCACCTTCCAAGTGCTGCCCCACGCACTACACTGTGCCCTCCTAAGCCTCGAAACGGGACGAAGTCGCTGATTAACGAACTTCCCTTACCGATTCAGCAGTGGCCGAGTCAAGCCAAGTGCATACCCAGCCATGTCGCTACCGTAGCAGCCACCGGGCAGCCTCTAAGATGGCCATGGCCCCTCGGCTTTTCCGGACAACCCCCCGCGTGTGTGAGGAACTTTTGACTTGATAGTGAACTGCCTTGGCAGCTATCCATGATTTCCCCATAGCGACATGCATGAGGCCGGATTTACTGGAGTTTATACACCCCTGGAGGTCAGGTTACTGTCACAAACATTAAACCTATTGGACTTGGCAGCAGGGGCACTGGTTGACAGCAGGGGTAACCAAGAAGGCAGTCGCAGATTGTTTATTGGCTGTCGCCAGGAATCTGTAGCTCAGTGGAACACTCCCTGTGTAAAGCATCTGCATGAGGAAAATAATAAGCCGCCTTGCTTGAGTAGACGTAAATTAGGACGTGTTCACATGTGGGCGAATCAGGGTTGATTCATGCGAATTGGACTCTGAATTGGACCTGATTGGACCCGAATCGGAATTGGGGTCCGGGGGGGCCTCTTCGGGTATGATTCGACGTGATTCACAGTTTTCTTTCTCAAAACAAAGTTGTTTAACAAACCGTTTCTCATAATTACCATTACAATACTATAGGAACATTTTCCAATTGTTAATTCACGCAAAGCGCACCGAGCATTTTTCACGAACTCCTGCAGCTATGTATGTACAAGCCTGGTGATAATTTTCGCCATAGAAACGATACTTATACTGTTCTGTTCCTAGATAATGCTGGCTTGCCTTGGGTGATGGGGCGTAGCCGCGGAGCTTCAGCTGGGCGCGGTGGCACCTCGCGCGGTGGCCGCAATCGTATGTGAACACAATTCAGAAAGCCGCCCCGAATCGGACTCCCAATCAGACTCTCAATTGGACTACATGTGAACACACCCTTAGAAGGCTGATGTGGAAATTGGCTAGCTGGCAGTCACCAACAATCGTCCGGGCTGAGGTATCGCCGCAACCAAACCGCCAAATACTATAGCACGGAGAGAGGCGGAGATAACCCCAGACCTTGGGGAACCTCAAGGAGATCTGATATCCTTCTGGCAACTCATACCTTGCTTGCAACTAACACGGGGTAAGGACAACGGCCACTTATGCTGCACACAGTCTTGCTTCGAGGGGCTTGTCACTGCTCTTCCACGGGGGGTGGAAAGCCCCATCTGCCCCATAAACAATTGTAAAGATGCTGTTTCCAGCACGTTTGCGGAGCTGGCAGCAACATTTCGTGCTTGATTTATTTTGTAAGCGAGGAATGTTGAGTTGGGTAAGGAAATTTCGTTTTGCCATACCTATCCAGCTGCTATCCAGCTTTGATGTGAGCGACATGAAACAATGATGGCTAGCCCTGCACCACAGGAATTGAGTAAAACATCCATCTTTTATCGATATATATATTGTCGCATTACCCCTTCAAAAGTATACTAGATTGCGGCCCTGTGACCTTCAAATTTACGACAGATTGGCAGTTTGGCGCTCGGACACTATTCCACCATACATTGAGATTTGTCAGTATAATGAATTGTCAAAAGCCCTGGTTCCAGCCTTTCGGAAATCGTGGAACAGTCGAAGCATGCCAGTACCACAACCAAACATAGTAAAATTTTATCAAAATTATTTATTTGTATAATTGTGAAAGATGTCTCAGCAGGCCTTGCCTCCATCCAACACAGCCAGGCTTGCCCTTACAACACTTTGCAAGGTTCTGCGTCATTACGGCATCATATCTTTGGAGCCTGAGCTTGCCAGGCAAGCAAAGTTCGATGGACTTGCGGTGAGAGGAGCCGTTGGTAAACCGTTGGGAGCCCGATGGCCAAGTACAAGCACAACCTTCCGCGCAACAACGCGATATCCACGACCCAGCACGGAAATATTGCATCCTTCAGAGGATTTGCGTTTCAGCAGTAGCAGCAGCAGCAGCAGGCGGCGTGGACTCCCAACCTACCATGGCACAACCAGGGCTTAGTGCACAGTCCACCTTCCTTCCTGTCATCAATTTCCCTCGTGCCTCAAGGCAGCGCTCTATCATCCCCTCACGCAACCGCCTTCAGCTCCGTGTGCATGTACTCACACACCCAAGTGGCACTCGCTTACCTACGGTGCACACGTGAATGCTCGCGTGTACGCAGTAACCCCTTCCCGCCCTCCACCTCTCTCATCGGCACTTGTCGCGATCTCGTCCCACGCCTCCACCGCCTGCAGGCCGGGCCCCTGTGGCGCGTCCTCCACGACCTCGTGCTTGTCGTACTGGCCGACTGCCCCTCCGGCCCCGCCTGCCAGGCGGCTCTTTCCCGCCAATGGCACCAGTTGTCTCTGGAGCTCCCGGAAGATGCAGAATTTCCGTACGAAGGTACTGTGTGCGGTACGGAAGCAGTACAATTCGTACGGAAGCAGTCCGCAAAGCTTACTACCCGCCCAGGCCCCCGCCCCATAATGATGCGAGGCACTCATGGTTTGCAGCTGCCATCAGCAGCAGCAATCGCCGGCTTATGTAGGTCATACACAGACACACACACATACACACACGCGTCGTGCACAAAGCAGCTGATGCTCCTCGTGTATCACGTCTTGCACCTATATAATAACCGTACCCGTAGAACCACAATGACCTTCGTGCGCCAACCACGTCTCCGTGCCGCACGTCGCCCACATTTACCCCTCCCCCTCTTCCTCCTCCCCTTCCTCCTCCCCCTCCCCCTCCCTTTCCCTTGGGCCCCCCCATGCAGCAACGGCCTCATCCGAAAAAACTGCGTTGACAGAGACCTTGTTACGGTTGTAAGTGCTCGTGCCGCCTCCCGTCGCAGGGGCCGTCCTCGTTCTGCGGCAGCTAGCGCTGTGGGGCGCACCGCAGAGTCTGATTCAAGAGTTGAGCTCGCCACCGCCGCCAGCACCCCAGAGCATTGGCGGAAGGGGGCCCCTTGATCCCGACCCTTTGGACAACCTGGATCCAGATCTCCCGCGGAACGCCACCGGATCCGGATCCGGATCCTGGCCGCGCTCCTGCAGGTCCCGGCCGTTGCTGCTGGCGCTGGGCTGGCTAGTGGCGGCGGGGGGCCTGTTTGAGCGTCGGATTGCGGAGTTAGAGCCGGGGCCGGGGTTGCGGGCGCTACTGCCGCCGTACCCGCAGGTACCGCACGACGCCGTACGAGTTACCTCTTTTAGTGACTTTTCTTCATCTTTTTGTTAATCACGCACCTTCTCTCCATGCAGCCAGCCTTTCCATTGCCCTTACATGGCCCCAACAAGACAAACTGTAACGCTTGTTGTTTGCTTTTGCATTACGTGCTACACATGTGTATGCATGGACGGCCCCCCACTCGGGCTCTGCCAGGCAGCCGCCTTTCGTATTATACCCCCCGCGATATAGGCTGGCGGGGGCGTGAGCGTCTTGGGGCCTCCCTTTCCGCTCCTTGTCCCTAGGATTCCTGCGTCAGCCCTGCCGTACAAGCGGCGTACGATAGTGCGGCAGTTGAGGCCCAGGAGTACGTTCGGAAGCTGCCTGCTGGTGGTTTCGTCGCGTCAGGCGCTGACGAGGGTGCAGCTGCTGCCGGCGGCAGGTCGAATGCCGGGCTGCGGGGCCGTGGCGGCGGCGGCGGCGGCGGCGCCACAGCTACCGACCCGTTTGGTTCCTCTCATGGTGCCACTGCTGCGGCTACTGCTACTGCTGGTGGTGGTGGTGGTGGTGAAGCTCTGTGGCGGGAGGTGGAGGTGGCGGCGCAACGTGCGGTGATGCTGTGCGGGCGGGTGCGCAGTCGGCTGGTGGCGCTGCAGGTGGGCTGAGGAGACTGAGGTGGCACGTCAGGTGGGGGGGGGAGGGGGGGGTGTTGAGAAAGCTGCAGCACCGGCGTGGGGGAGTGGAGGGGTTGGAGGGTGCTGGCCGCCTGGATGGGTGGTGGGTGCTGGCCGCCTGGAGGGGTTGGAGGGTGCTGGCCGCCTGGATGCAGCGCGTGATGGGTGAACGAACATGTCCATGGCTGCTTGTGTTGTCATGTCAAGGCGCTGCTGCTGTGAGTGCTAAATGCAACTTGGTGTTGATGTCGATGTCGATGTCGGTGCCGAAAGAAGGGGAACTAGATGCTCCGTTTAGCCGTCTGCCAATCTGTTGGGGAAGAAGAGGGCTGTCGTTTCAAATATACGGCAGGCTTGAATCCGTTAACCTTCTCTTCTTTGCATGTTGATGCTGCTGTTGTTGTTGCTGCTGCTGCTGCTACTGGTGTCTCATCTCCTCTTCCCTCCGCAACCCCCATGTCGTCCCACCCATCCAACCCCAGGCCGCGACTGACTGCCGCAGCAGGTGAGGATCGACGGGGTGGGGCGGGGTGGGGTGGGGTGGGGTGAGGCCAAATATGCCCCCGGCAGCGGCCCGGGCTGAGAGGCACTACGCAAGGTCATGTCTCATATCCGCACTTCGCAATACTGAACCTGCGCCTAACCAGAAAGATATCGTTTGCCGAGGAGGCGGGTTAGGATTAGGTTATAGAATTTGTGAAGGCTAGCAACACAGCACCTGTCATGCAGACATTTTGTCCGCTGCCGCCTTTACCACCGCCGCCGCAGCAGCAGCAACATCACCAACATCAGTATGTTGGTGCTGACGCGAGGTCGACGGATGGAAGCGGCACCGGGCCCGGGGGTGATTTTTCCGAAATCCTTGCCCTCTTACGCAAGTCACGTGTTTTGCCACGCTCTTCCTCCTAAGCCCCAGCCATCTCGCCACAGCCATTCTCACCTCACCGTGCCGACCCCCCCCCCGCCACCGACCCGTCCTTTGCATATTTTGCTACATAACTCTCTTCCCCCTCAGGTTGGCTCACTCGTTGTGGTCGCGGCAGGCGGCGGCAGCAGCGCCCTCCACCCGCCCCCTGACCCCCTACGAACTGCAGCTGTGCTCACAGCCAGGCATGATGCAGGTGCGTGCCTAGGTAGGTAGGTTGGTAGGTAGGTTGGTAGGTAGGTAGGTAGGTAGGTAGGTAGGTAGGTAGATAGGTAGGTAGGTAGGTAGGTAGGTAGGTAGGAAGTTGCTCGTGTGGTGGCAGGTTGGATGGGCGCAAGTCCGGGGAGGAAGACATGGTTGCGATCAGGTGAATTTTTATCCGGTGTTAATATTTCGGCGGCCGGAGAGGGGTTCGATTCCTGCCTAAGGCATTGCGTTGGGGACGCGAATGCAATCCATAAGAGCAATCCTTGCAATTGCAAACCTCCCGCCATCCCTTGTAGAATCCAGTCCATTAGTGGTGCATGTCGGCATTACGCTACCTGCCCACCTCCCACACCCTTCTGGGCCTTGCCGGCCCAGCTTTGTGTCGCTTCTCATGCCAGGACGCCATCACCATCATCACCACCATTACCACCATCATCACCATCATCACCACCATTACCACCATCATCACCATCATCACCATCATCACCACCATTACCACCATGCCTTGTCTCATCGTATTTATCTCCACAAACCTCAGTAGTAGTTTCTCCCTCTGTGAAACACCCATACCCCCGTCCGCTGTTCCTCCCTCCGGCCCTTCACTGTCGCTGTAACCGACGCTGTAACCGACGCTGTAACCGTCGCTGTCGCCCCTCAGCTCATTTGCTGCATTTTGCCCATCTGTGTATGTTCCCCCCAAGCCCTTCAAGAACGCCTACTGGTCAGTTCTGCTTCTTTTACACTCTTTCCCTGGCAGCAGCTTCACTCGTTCACGTGGTTCACCTTTCCCCCCGCCCCGCCTCCCCCCCGCCCCCCCGCGGCTCCAACCCCTCCCTCAATTGCAGCATCACATGGCCGCATTGGAGGCGGCGACACTAGCACTCCTAGAGCAACAGGTGGTACAGGGCTCCTCGGTCCCGTCCGGCTGTCTGTCTGTCTGTCCGGCTGTCTGTCCATCTGTCCGCATGTCTGTCCATCTAGCTATCTGCTACCATATCCTTCCGCCATTTTGAGTACCGTCCTGGTTAGATCTGTTTAATGCATTCTCCTCCGCCGCCTAAATCTGAAGAGCTGTTTGTCTCCTGTCGATGTGTTCCTGTCCATCTGTATATCTGTATGTCTATACCTTACAAAGGGTGTTGTCCGTCGCCCCAACGGCACCCAACTGCGGCTGAGCAGCCGCCGCCACCACCGCCACGGCTGATCAAGCCCATCACGCGCATCCATTGCCGTACATGTATGCTTTGCCAATCGCTGGCAAGGCCGCCGTGACGTATTGTGCCCCCTGCCGTGCTGCGAGCCGTCAGGAGTTGGCGGCGCATGGCGCTCTGTTTTTCGAATGGCTGGGCAGCGTTATTGAGGAGGAGCGGCAGCACCAGCACCAGCAGCGAAAGGTCCAGCAGGGGCGAGCTACCGGGCGCCTTGGGGGCGTCGGTGGAGGGCATGTGAGTGAGGCGTGGCGTGGAACGTTGAAGGGGCAAATGGCTGTTCAGATGGATGAGGCTCTGTCTTGATGCACGTATGTGCCCGCCAGCCCACCGGGGCGCCATCTCGCACTGTCCACGGTCCGACTGCAGGCAGGTCGCACACCACCGGGTGGCGGCGGGCAAGGGCCAGGATCTGGCGGCGCGTTGGCGTCCCTGGAGCACCTGCCGTACTTTAGCAGCGATGCAGGTACCCGCCTGGCGGCTCACCTGGAAGCTCAACTAGAAGCTGCCGTACAGGTGGGAGCATGTTTGAAGCACCCCGGGGCTTTGATGTTTTTTTCTCTCGCCCCCAACCCCCCTTTTCCCCCCAGCAGTTGTATCCTTGTCTTTTTGCATATACATCTACATCTACATATACATATACATATACCCCCCTGCACATCAATCTTTCCTTGGCATCGCCCCTCACTCGCTCATGGTTCTCGTCTCCTCCCCCCCACTGCCTCTTAAGGTTTGGGTTTCTAAATTCCTGAGTAGGCAGCAAACGCAATCGGGAACCAGTCCAATTGCGACTTCGTCTAAGGCGACAAAAATAACCGCCAGCGTCTCAGAAGCTTCTCCCTGACCTCCCCCACGCACCCCCGCGCTCCCCCGCGCCGCACCAAGGGGGGTTACTCAGGCGGTATCCGGGACCCCTCTCGTCCCTAAGGCTATTTTACTTTGATTCTTTGTGTTGGGGGCTGTGTGAACAGCCGCGGGCCGCTCTGAACTGACACTCGTCCGCTGCACTTGCATCGACCGATCCGCCAGGCCGTCCGCATCTCGTGAGCTATGCAGGCCCTCTCGCGTTCCTCTTCATGCACCCTCACCCCACCCCACCCCACCCCACCCCACCCTACCCTCCAGCACCAGCACCAGCACCTCCTACCCATTTTTCTCTGCGCCCCATTTTCCTTTCACCGGGGCGGCGTTCCGTGTGCCTGCCCAGGTCCGCTGGAACGCTGGTCTCTCGCTAGCACCTTCCTATCCTCGCACTCGAGCACCAGGGCCATGATTGCTGGGCGGCCCATTGGTGGTCCTTTGGCTGGCTTTGCATTCTTGGCCACATGTTGTTGCCCGTTGTAGTCGGCGGTGGCTTGTTTTTTTTTTCGCTCACTCTCCTCCTGAACCGCCTGCTGTGGACCTCCTGTTGGCCCCCAGGCAGCAGAGCCGGAAATTGCCGCTGCACGGCGCCGCGCCGAAGACCTGCTCACTCGCCCGGCCGGCGGGGCGGTCACCGTGGTTGCTGCTGCCAAGGCAGGAGCGTTAGCAGCAGGCGGCGGCTGCAGCCGGCAGCCCCAGCAGCAGCAGCAGTCTTCGGGTGTCACTATGGAGCATTTCCTGGCCCTGGCGGTACGTGTGAGAGGAAAGGGACGTGACGTGTGGGGGGAAAGGGACGTGTGATGGTTGGTGTAAGGTAGAGACAAGCGGGCCCGAGCTGGGGGGGGGAGGGGCCGCGAGGGTGGTGGCTTTTATGGGGAGCGTGCCAGTGGGAGATGTGAGGCGGCTGTCTTGGAATGGAGCTCTGAGGAGTCCGTGCCTGGTTGATGTGGGGGTGCCTGCGTGGCTGGCGTTGGATAGGCCAGGAACGGCCAGATGGTAGAGGGAGAGGGCAGGGAGAGGGCAGGGAGAGGGACGGGGAGAGGGACGGGGAGAGGGGGGAGTTGGGCGGTTTGGGGTACACGGGTGAGGTTGCAGTGCAGACAGGTGGGCGGGTGTGAGGAAGGGAGGACGCGCAGAAGGCATAGAAGCAGGCAGGGAGGCAAGGGGGAAGGGCCCTGCAGCAGGGAGCACGAGGTGGTCCTGCACGGGCGCAATAAGGTGAGTGACTGTGTGTGTGGGGGGAGTATAGTGAAAGGACGAGGGCGGCTAATTAATACTTGATTGACGCCGATGTGCGGCCACTCCAAACTGCCACTTATGTACCTCATCAGGAGCAAGCAGTTTCGGAGCTCCGGCCACCGGTTGCGGGTGGATGGCGTGGCGACGGTGTCGACGCCGCCGTTAGCGGCGATGGAGGGCCCTCCGGCAGCACCACAAAGCTTTGCGCCACCACTGAAGCTGGCTCCGGCGTGTGGCGGCTGCCAGACGACCTGGCCGCTGCTCTGGATTCATTACATATCGCCGAGCACCGGCGTCGCTGTGCAGATGAAGAGGAGGAGGCGCAGTTCCAGCAGCTACGGTACGCCGCGCTGGCCCGGTATGACTTTCCTGGCGCTGCTGCGGTTTCATCGGTGCAGGGCCTGTCGCCGGCAGCGGCAGATACACAGCGGCTGCTGGGAGTGGTGCTGGCAACGGCTCGGCCTTTGGCCCGCACTCGGGCTGCTCACAAGGCAGCTCTGATGGCTGCGCTGCAGGACCTGCCGGAGGGCTACGTGGTAGCGGGGCTGTAGCATTTTGGGCCAGGCGAGGACAAACAACACCAGGCGGCGGCAGGGCTGTAGCGCCCGCAGTTTTAATTCCATCACACTCGCGTGCTTATCCTGTGCGACGTGCTGTCCTGTGCTGTGATAGGCTGTGATGGGCTGTGTTATCAGCTCACGTGGCACACAGGCGCCTACCTGCTGTGATGGCAACATTAACACAAACAGGCAAACTGTGTTGGACTGTTGGACCTCCTTGAGGATGTCAGGAGGGGTGTATGTCGAGGGCCTCTTCTGCGGTTGGGGTGATGGTCCCTGGCCCTGCCCAGGGCCCCCCTCGAGTGAACACCCGCCCAAATCAGCCTTTTGAAGTGATAGCGAAGAAGTCAGGACAAATATTGCACCAGGACCTCAGCAACCAGGGATGTCTGTCAGGCAGGCCATCCCATCGTAACCAACAATAAGTCGTCGACACCACCCCGAAGCAGTACTTCACGCGGACGGACCCCGCAGATGAGGAGGGCTACTCTACTGGCAGCAGCCAGTCCATGCCCCTGACACACGCTCCTCCCGGCTCCCGGCCATCAATCACTGACTACCTCCTCCCAAACACGGGGCACCAGCGGACTCAGTTAGCTGTAAATCTCCAAATTGTGCCGTGTTTAGGTAAATTAAGCAGCACATGAGGTACTTTGCGAATCGGAAACAGTTCCAGCAGCGGCGCCTTTCACCTGCGGGCCCCTGGCCATGTGGGTGGGTAGTGGAGCACCTGATGGAGGTGGGGCACCTACAAAGGGCGTAACCCCACAGGGGTTGAGTTTCGCCATATAGTATGTTGTTACAGGGTGGTTAACTTCGCCAGCGGCCCCCTTTCCCGGGGCAGTCCTTGCTCTCCCCTGCTAGAGGGGCACCCTAATCCGTCACCCCATCCGACTTCAGAATGTATTCGTTGGGTTCGGCAACTCACCACCAGCATCCAACCAAATCTAGCGGATCAACGGCGCATCAACTTAGTTCCTGGTCAGCTCGCAAGTTGATATTATCACGTCCTACACCGTCCATAAGATGGGGGGCCACCTCCCATTTCATCACTCCTCAGACACCCGAGGAGCCGGCAGGCAGATTTGAACCCGGGTCGGCCGGGAGCAGAAGTCAGGCCTTAACCTCTGCCAGCCGCCTACCATCCAGACCGCCGAGACCGTCGAGGCCACCTCTCTCAAGGAGGACCTGCACGCCCTTTCCTAGAGCAGTACTCCCTAGGAGCTGCAGCGCTATACTGGTGACGATGATGGCCTGCTGGCGTACCTTGCAGCGACTCAGGTCCTAGCTCCTGTAAGCTTTTCTCCGACCCTGTCCTAGGCCCTGCCCTTCTAGCAACCGATATGGAATTGCTCCTCCCCGAGTACAGGGGCGGGCGTGTGGTGGGTGGGTGAGTGGGTGTCCCAAAAAGTGCATGACTGGTTGGTTGCGCCTTGAGTCCTCTCTTGCTTGTGCGCCTTCCTCCAAGCTACTTATACTCCAGAACTGCAACACTAGTCGTTATTGTTACTGCCCATCCGTTGCACCCTCCCATTACAGTACTTGTCGCGCGCCACACAACACGGGGAGCACTTATACAACGTCCATTCCTTCAACACCAGCATGTAATCCATAATCCATACATGCTACTCAATTTATGTGGGGAGAAGGGCCATGGCGCCCGTGATATCACATTCCTTTGCGGTACATACGCGCATTGATGGGCGGAGGAGCCCTTTGATCATCACCCCGGCCAGCTACCGGGTCCCTGGTCGGTAGACTTACAAACGCCGAGAGAAGGTTTAAGACGGCGGCGCCCTTTATAGCTCCGTAACGCTCCGAAGAAGGTGTTAGACCCCAGCCCGAAACCGAGCACCCAGAGCACCTGCAGGGCTCCCGGGACCAGGAGCTACTAATCGGCAGTCTGTCACTTTAGACGATCCAGCGCGGGCCTCCGACCCAACAGGAATGGCATCCTGGTGCTTGGAATTCCATACATACTGGTCCCGGGATTGAGACCTGTCAGGGTCGAAAATCCTTCCAATGGTGAAAGTTAATGTGCCCCTAGTCGATGGACGGTGGAGATCTGGGATAAAGTTGACTCACGAGCTGACCAGGAATGGAGTTGAGCCGCCGTCGATCCGGCAGATTCCGTTGGATGCCGGTGGTGGGTGTGGAACCTGAGCGATCCACTAAGAAGTTGACGAGGGTGACAAGAAGTACCATGTCCCCAGGGGGCAGCGGTTTTGCCACTGTTGTGGTACTAATAGCAGAATTGAGGATGAAAAACACGTGTTATTGGAATGCCCAGCCTATAATGATATTCGTGCTGAAGAGGGATTCGATCATCAACAGAGCATGTTGGAGGCCATGCAATGGGAACCCGCACGTCTGGCGAGGATGTTGGAACGTATGTAGGCTCACCGAAACTCAATTACCCCCTTTGGACGCTAGTCTGGGCTGATGTGGGTGGCTTTTAGGCGTTGTAGTATTGCCCTTGGGCCTTCGGCTCGTATGGGTAGTCTTACAGGTATGGGGTCACGCACCCCCCAACCATGTAACACACACACACACACATTCGTTACGTGGAAGCCGCCGCAATTTCCCCCATCCCATCGGAACGGCCACGAATGGATTTCACCCCCAAGCACAAGGATGCCCACCCTCTTTCCTCCCTCACGCACGCTCTATCTAAGTTCGCTCTACCATGCTTTTCATTCGCTCTCTGCAAGCCCCCCTCAGTCTACCCCGGTAGCCGCAACCCCTCCTCACCCTCGTACACTAGTTGCTGCCACCGCCGCCGCTTGCCACGGTAGCACCAACCCCGGCCGCAATCCCCGCTCCTTCGCTACAGGCATGGGATATGAACCGCAGCCAGCTCTGCATGACCCGCGGGTCGTTTGCCACGATACGGCCCACACCCGCGTGCGCAGCCCGCGTCGCGTCCTCCTTCGAGTCCACTACCCACGCCACCACGGGCCGTCTAGCCGTCGCCTTCGCCGCCGCCGCCGCCACCTCCGCCAGCGCGGCATCCGGGTGCTTGATGCTCGGCCCAAAGATGTCGTACGCATATAGGGATGAATGAATGCGGGGGATGTATGAAATTGGACGTGATTGGGTTTGGAACGTCGTTCCATGCGTGCGGTGGGTGCAGGTGCGCGGCAGGACGTGTTGAGTGACGAACGAGGGCAGGCAGGGGGGGTTAAGGGTCAACGGCCGGAGATAAATGCGCCCATAGACAGATGCAGAAGATAAGGCAGGGAAGTTACTGCCCGGACACACAGTCTCAGCTACCCGGCTTGCCAACTAGTGCTTTGCATAGATACACATGCGGACATCGCTGAGGTAAAGTTAGTCGTGTACCACCGTGACATCGGCATTGCCCTCGCGGCGGCTCCGGAGATAATTAAACACACACACAGATGCAGATGTACACACATGGGTACACACAAACCCTGAGTCCCACCGGGTATCTGGAAGACCCAGTACTCGCAGCAGCCCCGAGCCCAGCAGCTGTAGGTGCTTCCCCACGGCCTCCACCCCAACATAGCTTTGATCGCCAGCTGCTGTTGCTGCTCCTCCTGCTGCTGCTGTTGATCCCTCCTGCCGTCCCACTGAAGAGGAAGAGGACAGCGATAAGGGCTCCAGCCTCGGAAGCCACAGACCCACATGTCCCTGAATACCAAGTGCGCGGGTGAGGTTGTGCAGCAGCTCCGCAAAATCGGGCCTTAATGCGGAGTCCTTGAGCTCCAGCAGCAGCAGCGGAGTCCCATCGCTACTGCTACTGCCACGATCATTGTCATCGCGATCACTATCGTTATTGACGGAGTCTGAGCCGCCGCCGCCGCCGCCACCGCTGCCGCCGCCGCCGCCGCCACCGCCGCCGCCGGCGTCTTGGCCGCCACTGCTGCTGCGACTACTGCTCCTGGTGTCCTGACCCTCGGCGGCCTGTCCGCCGCCTTTATCCTGCAGCACCAGCAGCCTCCGGCCCTGGCCTGATTCCTGCTGTTGTTCCTGCTGCTGCTTCCCTTCCGCCGACTTGGAACGCGCCCTGTCCTCCTTCCCCTCCTGCTGCAGCTGTTGCTCCTGCTGTTGCTGCCCCGAAGCGCCCTCCATCCCGCCCTCCTTCCCCTCTTGCTGTTGTTGTTGTCCCTGCTTTCCCGCCTCGGTCTCTCCCGCAACACCTCCTCCCACACCATCCCCCTGCCCTCCTACTCCAGCGCCCGCTCCGCCCTCAGGTCCCTCCTCCTTCGCCGCGGCCCCCTGCTGTTCCTCCTCTTCCCGCTTCCTCTTCCTCTTCTTCGCGTCTTCCGACACCATCTCCGCAAAGACCCTCAGCACGTCCTGCAGCAGCGGGTGACGCTGATCCAGACCCGCCGCCACATACTCACTCCGGGAAACGGAGTCCACCTGAAATGGCTGGCCTTGCGTGGCCGCCGCCGCGGCGGCGGCAGCAGCAGCGCCTCGGCCTGCAGCCCAGAGGTCGGTGATAATGTGGTTGGGGTAGCCGACTACGAGCTGCCCGTCGGCAGTGGCAGTGACGTCGATGTCGTAACAGGTGATGCCGCTGGCTGCTAGGCGGGAGAGCCGCTCCAGAAAGGGCGCGTCAATGCCCTTGTCGCTGGAGCCCAGTGAGGCTCGGTGGCTACATACCTGCGTGTGTGGATTGCGTCATGGAAAGGGGTTTTGGGGGGACCGCATTCAGTCGGGGGGAGTATGGCATCCAGGTGTACCATATGGGGCTGCATTCAGGATCGCTTTTTCCTGGACAGCTGACGGACCAGCGCACAAGGGGAGTGGAAAAGCAAGGTCCCTGGTACCGCGTCACGTGCGGTGAAGCACGTTTGCACCTGGCATACTCTTCAAACAAGGGTCCTCCCTTTGATGCCTAAACAACAGGAATACGTTTAGAGGTTCGGTAAGGGTGACCGATGAATGTGTTCGGCGACTAAACGACCCGCTATCGAAATACAGCAACGCAAGTACAAGCATAGCAAGTACGCTGCCAATGGTAAGCTGCTGCTACCTGGACCGATGGTGGCGTGACGCCGAGTGCTGCCATCGTGTTTGTGCACCTAGGAGAGGGGGTTGCGGTCGTGCCCGAGTACAAGCTTCCCGCCAGGCTTTTAGCAACATCGCTAAGCAGTGGTCAGCCCATATCCGCAACGGCACAAAGGCACCATGGCCAGGCATTAGGGGTCAAGTGGAAAGTCACGAGGCGAAGCTGACAGTGTCAAGCTAACCGTGCTTAGGATGGTAGAGACGGGAAGCGGGGAGACCGGCTGCCACGGCCCTTAACTGTCAGCTACGAGCTGAAGCTCTACTGAGTGAAAGGCAGAATGCCTGCAACGAAGGAGCTGAAGCGTGATATACTGGCCACTCGAATACGGTTGTACGACAGTCGCACAGAACCAGACTTAGAGGCTCCGATCGCTTCACTCCGTCGCATCTAAGTCAACAATTCGCCACCACACAACTGTCAGCGACAGGAGGCCAGAGGTGGCTGAGAATACTTTGCTGCATAGAGCATAAATGAGGCGAGGCGGCGGAAGAGGGCCACCGAGAAGTCCCTCTCCAGGAGACAGAAACTTCGGGTCACCACAATGGTAAGAGGTGGTAATGGTAATGGTGGAGGAGGAAGAGGAGCAGGCGAAAAAGGAAGGTCCAGGGGGCTGGGTGAGATAGTGAGGACACAAATCTGATGTGGGTCAACTAGATTTTTGAAATTCGGGATCCAAATCTGGAGATGACTATCTATCTGGGCTCGATAGGGACGGGGTTCCTTCATTAATGAACTCCGTGGGCCGCCGGCAATGAGGTCAACTTACCGATGGCTTTTGAGTGGATGGGGTTGACGGGCGGTTTGCGGGTTGAGGAGGGCTAACTAAGTTAATGAACATAAGCGTTATATTTCGTGCACGCGACACACAGAGCGACATGGAATTTCACGTAACAAGGAACGACGAAGTCCTTGTCCCCCCTTGTTCAGTGCCTCGCCTTGTGCAATCTCAATACGCTTTAAATATCTTTAAACCCTAAGTAGCTGGTACCCAGTACGGCACCTTGAACAACCACAAATACGCGCGAAGTGCTTCATCAGCATCTCGATAAAGTAGCTGTGGTTATGTGGCAAGACTCTGTGCCTGAAAACCTTAAAGACGATGTGGACTGTTCACCCACAGCCCGCGGGTAGGCGAAGGTAGGCACAGGCTGGTGATAAATGTGGCCGTAAGGGTCCTAGACGGATCCCTTCAAAGGGGGAGGAATGTAGGAGCGGCTGGTACACAGTATGGCACCTTGAACAAAAACGCGAATGGTTGCATTATGATCCCCTCCACTGCTGCCCCTCCACTGCTGCGCCTCCACTTCACTCCAATCAGGCATCTGTGTGTGTGTGTGTGTGTTACATGGTCGTGGGTGCATTCTCATACTACGGGGAGTACCTGCAAACCACCCAATATGAGCCAAGGGCTCAAGGGCTGCCAGGTCGCCTATAAGCACTTCAGACAAAGCAAGTGATAGAGGAGACTAACGACCAATGGGAACGATAGAGTTGTGGTGGGACCACATACGTTCCAGGATCCTTGCCAGACGTTCAGGTTCCCACTTCCCAAGCAGGCATCTATCGTAAACCCTCCCCATCATCCCCTTGCAGCTCCCCGCCGTCTTCAATCTTCCTGTCCCTCACAGAAATTCGCTTCTGTTTATTTGCTTTGCTTAATACGCACATCTGCTACTATTGTAGACCCCCCTGGCTCGTCCCAACAGCTAACTCGGCGATATGCTCTCAATCCAGGCATGAACAGCGACAGCGTTTTCATCCCTCAAATAATGATTTTTTCGGGTCTTGGCCCGGCTCATGGCCTCCTCCCAGTCCACCGGGCAGCCCTCGGCGTGCAGCCACTGAAGAACCTCTAGGGTACTGCCATGGCGCCTGTCGTACACTGCGTGTGCTGCCGTTATGTAAAGCTCACCATCATCCTGCAACATCGCAACGAGCGAGGTGTATGAACCGAGAAAACAGCCGTAATAGATGGCGGCTGAAAAGGCCTCTCGAGATGCTGGAAATGTGCTCCCCGCATGTGTATGAATTGACTGCGTGCGCCCTCGTTCCTTCGACATCCACCAGCAACCGCGACCGCTCCCGTTCGCGGTCCGCTGAGATCCCGGAGCACGTCCACGCGTCTCCTTTTACAACACACGATCCCGTCCCCATCGCCCCCGTCGTCAACCCCGCTCCCATCACCCCCATCGCAGAACTCCACGATGAAGATGTCCGAGCCGCCGGTAGAGACAACCGGAAAAATTCTCTTGGGCCAAAAGACCGACAAAAATTTTGAAGGTCTCGAAGACTCAACTGACTGTTACGGATTAAGTTAAGGAAAAAGTTATCCTCTCGCACAAACCTGCCGATATTTTGTAGCGTAAAATGTGCTTGTTATAGTTCTGACCAGGAATGCGCAACAAGTGCTGAAAATTAATTAGAGAAACAACAACTGTCTGACAATTTGTCAACTCACACGTCCATACAGACGGCGACAAACGGCTTTCAGTTAGTATGTCCCAAAACATACTACATTGCCTCGCTGTTTTACATTTAAGAATAAATAATATGAATAATTTAACATTTCAAGGTACTAAGTGTTGTATTTCGGCCAGGCCTTCCTTGTGAATGAAATTCCAATCATCTTTCAAAATGCCGTCGCCACAGGACGTTGACGCGCAGCGTATCCCGGTCATCGTCGTTACTGGCTTCTTGGGAAGCGGAAAGACGAACCTAATCAACCGTATTTTGAAAGAGAAGCATGGCCGCAAAATCGCCGTAATCGAAAGCGAATTTGGCGAAATTGGTATCGACGATGGCATCGTTTACAACTCACAGGAGAACATCCTGGAGATGAACAATGGGTAAGCAGGCCATTCGGATTCAAATTCGCCTGCCGACTCCTCGGGTGTTTGAGGAGTGTTGAATTGGGAGGTGGCCCCCCATCTTGCGGACGGTGTAGGACGTGATAATATCAACTTGCGAGCTGACCAGGAACTAAGTTGAGGCGCGGTTGATCCGCTAGATTTGGTTGGATGCTGGTGGTGAGTTGCTGAACCCAACGAATACATTCTGAAATCGGATGGGATGAACGGATTAGGGTGTCCCTCTCGCAGGGGAGAGCAGGGACTGCCTCGGGAAAGGGGGCCGCTGGTGAAGCTTTACCACCTGTAACAACATACATAGTGGCTCGTAAAGCTACTCACGGCTACCCCCGTCCGCCTTCCTACTATCTTGCTTTGCAGGCGGTAGAGCAGCTGGCGTTCGCCGACAAGGTGCTGCTTAACAAGGCCGACCTGGTGTCCGCCGAGGAGAAGCAGGAGGTCGTCAAGCGCATCAAGGTGCGAACGCAATCACTTGGTTGAGGGATAGTTGTCGAGCGAGCCAGATAGTCAGCTGCCGACGCAACGTCATGAGGCTATTTTCTAGTGTTGAGTTCTCGTTCCTCGTTTCACTGTATGCACTCCTTCAATTGGCACATACACACTGCCCTATGTATACCGCCGTGCTGATGGTGTCACAGGCCATCAATTCGTCAGCCGACATTATTGAGACGGTGCAAGGCAACGCCCCCCTGGAGCGCATACTGGAGATCAAGGCGTTCTCGTTGGAGCGAATCTTGGAGGGCGAGCCGACCTTTCTGGAGGTGAGCGACCGAGCTCTAAGAATTGACGTTGAGTCTAAGAATTGACGTTGAGTCTAAGGATTTGACGTTTATGTCCAGTCATAATAGCGCTTTGCATGCATCCTTAAACAGCACCGTAGTCACTTGGCGACATGTACTTGAACACCCCACCTGCATAGCATCCACACGAAGTTATGCATGGCAGTTCAAGTGCTGAAGTACGGCACCCTGAAACCATGCACACTGTGAATGTTCCCGCGTATGGACATCCATGCAGTCGGATGGCGAGCACCAGCATGACTCCTCTGTTACCAGCGTGGGCCTCGAGCTGGAGGGCGAAATGGACAAGAAAAAGCTGGACAGCTGGCTCGGCGCCATCCTGCGCGAGAAGGGCACGGACATCTTCCGCAGCAAGGGCATCCTCGCTATCAAGGGCACAGCAGACAAGTGGGTAACACATAGTTGCAAAAATTATTAAACTTGTCCTATATAGGCTATTTTGGTCATTGCACTAAATGCTGCAAGCAGCGGCTGTCTACATAATAGCCATCTGCGTGTCTAAGTACCAGTACCACGACCTGGGGGTACTCAGTACTCTCGCCACTACACCACGCAATGCCCAAGGGCAACACCACCCCACAGTTCCCACGAACGGTGCACGTCACTGTCTCGCGCCATGCAGATTGGTGTTCCAGGGTGTCCACATGCTGATGGGCTTCGCCAGCAGCAGTGAGGGTGTCGGCAAGCCCTGGCGGGATGGGGAGAAGCGAGTGAACCGCATCGTTTTCATTGGGCGGCACCTGGACCGAAAACAGCTGGCGAGCAGCTTCACGGCGTGCCTGGCAGACTAACAGATTTAGTAAATGTAGTAAATGTAGTATATGCTCGGGGGCAATTCGTTGTTTAATAACATAGGACATTACTACGACCTGACGTGAGGAATGGACGGTGTTTCCCCGATGTAGGTGGGGGAGCCTATCACGTCATAATGTGTCCGCGGCCTCGTCTGCGCTAGTGTACGACGGGGCCCGATTTAATGTGCGCCAGTCACATGTTTGGTTTGGTACGCAGGGCTATGTGGCCTCGTTTCTTCCCACTTTAAGTGTGGCATGAATGACGCATAGGTAGGAGCACATATGCATGCGGATGAGCTAAACCCTAAGGTCCTAGGGCAATGGCACATCCTGCTAAACCGCTGTGGGAAATTTTCGGATGGTGGGGTGCATGTGCGTCTGCCCCGGCAGCGCCCTTGCCCACAGGTTCTCAGCCTCTGTCCAGGCGCCCCTTCAGTGCGCCTTTGTTCACCTATCCTATTCGGCTTCTCATTCGGCTTCATACGTCAAAAGCTTTGTTTGTGTGTGCTGGTGTGTTTAACAGGCGTTTGTAAATGTGTTTGGTATGGCACCAGATCCAGGCCCTGTGCGTGTACGGATGTGAAGACTTACACCGATGCACCGATGATGTGCTTGCATCGTACTAGGTGTACGAATATGAATAATCGACCTGGAATCCGAACCTCATGGGTCGCCAACATAATACGACATCAAGGTGCCAAGTGTATGGGCAAGAAAAGTACAATCAAGTTATCACCTTGCGGCCGAGACCACGCGGCCGCTGAAGCCCCCATGTGCCAGCTCAGGAATACATCCTAGGAAAATGGAAGTCAGGGTTATCCTGCGGGCGACATGCTCCAATCCGCATCAGCACATCAGCCTGCCATCCTTGCCTGCCACGAACTCACGAACTGCCACGAACGAGGCAGGCTTTCACTCTTCCCTTTCCGCTACCTCTACGGAGGAGGAAGCAGTCAACCACAGACAGAGCCAGTATACGGGCTCATGTACTCAGCATCACCTAGTAGGCTCGACCGGTCCCAAAACCAGGCGCCAGCACCTCGTGACCCGAGGACCAGCTCTGCCGCCGGCCACACCATGGATATCGACGGCTTCGTTACCACCTCAGGGCGGAGAAGTGCCAAGGACCAGGATCGAGTTGGCCATGGTGGGACTGGCCAGCAAGGTCTGGGGGTCGATGAGGGAACAACTAGAAGCAGGGAGGGACGTGCAGGGCCCAGCAGCAGAGCTGATAACCGACCTCATGACCAGGCTGGCAAGCCCACTAGTGCTAACCGGTTTGCAGGCCTGCCCGCTGAAGTGGATGACTAGGATAACGCAAGCCGAGGGCCAAGAGGGTTGAAGGTTTTGTTGTGGAATGTCCATGGGTTGTTGGAGGCAGGAGGTTTTAAGCTTGACCGTGCCGGAATTAAGTCTTTTGTGACGAGTCATGATCTCGTCATTGTTACCGAAGCACACCTAACGGATGCAGTGCCAGACAGTGACGTGTCCCTTGAAGGTTTCCGCCTGATGCGGGTGCAGAGGTCAGGAGACGCCGTACGCGCTGACTATGGTGGTGTTGCTCTTCACGTGCGTGATACCGCCTCCCATGGGGTTACCATTGTCCGGAAAAACAACAGTCTTGCAGGCTGTGAGGTCCTGTGGATACGTGTCAACCTCCTGTCAGGAAACAGCCTCCTGGTGGGGGCCTGTTACCTTGCACCTGAAACTTCCAGAGTGTACCCAGCCGGAGGTGCAACTAATGCACAGCGAGCAGCAGCAGCAGAAGCTGCTTTCGCGAGAGTCCAACAAGATATTTCTGAGCTCCGGCAGCCGGGGGAGGATGTGATGCTTGCCGGTGATCTAAATGCCCGTCTATCTAGTGCACAGCATACAAAGCACCAGTCCTCACCTGCTGACCTGCCCGGGTATGTTAGTGATGTTCCAGATTTAGACCAACTGACGGCACTGCAGGAGTTCATGGGCTTGCCGGGGGACGCGGACCCTCAGGGCTACACAGACGTGCCCGGACGTAGGAGTGAAGACCTCGTCTGCAATTTCGCTGGGCACCAGTTGGGCGCCCTGTGCCGATCACAAGGGCTGCTGGTATTAAATGGCCGTGTTTCTGGGGATTTAGAGGGTCGTCTGACCTTCCCCAAGGGTGAAGCAGGTGGGAGCATGATCGATCTTTTTGTAGGTTCGGCCGGTGTTCTCCGTCATGCCTATTGGATGCGAGTGGGCGAGCTGCTCGCGCCAGATGGTTGGTTCCCGACTGACCACCGTCCAGTGACGCTAGTGCTTGGTCTAGCTGTAGGAGGAACTGGAACGAGTGCCAAAGGGTGCTGCCAAAAGAAGCGAGCAGTGTTTGAGATTTCCCGTTATCGTGACTATGCTGCTCTGTTCACTGATGGATCCCAGGTCATGCATGCACTAAATGGGGTGATCACGGACCTATCGAATGGGGCCTGCAACAGCACGGAGTCGGTGGAGCACATTAGTACCCTCCTGCGGAAGGTGCTGATTCGAGTATTTGCGGGTCGCAGGCCTGAGGGTATGCAAGCGGGGGGGGTGCATTATGGTGGAATGAGGAATGCCAAAGCGCCCGGCAACACATGCTTGCTTGCAGGGTGCGGCTTGGCCCTGGCAGGGTCGAGAATAAGTCAGGCCCCTTGTGGGAAGCGTTCTGCAAGGCACGTAACGCAATGAACCGTGCCAAACGTCGTGCCCGAGCAGCATATGATGCAGAGAGAATGCGTGAGTTCGTGGTTAGGTGCAGGCATGATCAGCGCGCACTGAGACATCGTCGCTTGGGCTGGCCGGGGGCCCCCGCGGTGGACATGATTCAGACCGTGATGCTGGACGCAAATCCAGTGATGCCGCATGGCTAGCACGACGCCTTGATGGGTCTAACAACAGACACCATCTCACAGCTATCCACAATAGCAAGTCTGTACTCCAAACGTGGCGGCATTCTTCGGCGAATCAAACGGGAGTCAAGTGGCTGCACCGGGGTTGGAAAGCTTAACCCCTAGTCGACATAAGAAGCCGAATGAAAAACAGAAAATGATGAGTGGACACAGGCGCACTAAAGGGGCGCCTGCACAGGATGGAGAGAAGCGAGTGAACCGCATCGTTTTCATCGGGCTGCACCAGGACCGAGAACAGCTGGCAAGCAGCCCAGGCCCAGTGTTGCTACCGTAACCCTAATGTTACGCTAAATTACACCGGCGTATTATTACGCGAAATACGCATCTCAGGTACCCTTTTAGCCAGTCCGGCGTAAATTTCTGTCGTTATTAACAGAAAGTTTCGGAAGCGGGCAATGGACAGTGAAGCATGGATGTGGCAGCCGTGACAGCCATGTTGAGGTACAACTTACCCTGGTTCGACTGGAGCAAGGTCCGGGCAGAAGGGCAGGTCGTACAGGGTTTGGAGCGATTGTGGGCAGGCAAGGAGATTCACGTCTCAAAGACAATGTTACTTCGGGTTACGAGCGATTACTCCTGGTTGAAAGGGACTTTAGAGGAGAGGTTATGTACCGCGTACCGATGGTACAATGTATGGCATGCTTCCGTAACGTTAAATCCCAAATGGAAAACCCCCAAATAAAGGGCACAGTTAGGATATTTTTGTCGGTCTTTGGTCTGAGGGCTTATACTTCGCCCTTTGTGTGTTTGAATTTAGTCGCCCTCGTCGGTCTGTGTGAAAGGCTCGACGTGCTTCGCGGGTCCGTCTCGTATGGTAGGTAGCTGCGTTCCCGTCTCTCCGGGGGGAGATCTCGTGCGTTCAATAGGGCTTCTGGGTACTGGTGGGGGACTGGGCGTTTTGCGTCTTGGAGGTCCGTTTGGCTTTTCTGGGGCGAAGGCTCGCATCCGGTTTTGTCAGGTGGCTTTTTTCCTTGGTAAGGCTATGCTTCGCCTTTCTTATACGCCCGTCCTGGGCTTTTATCGCCTGTTTCAGGCATGCGCCCTGGCCCGATCTAGCTGGACACTCAGTGTGCTGATGCACAGTGTCTGTTACAGACGGTTTGCTAATATAACCAACCGCGTACTGCTTTAAAGACCACTATCTCTCTCTGATTAAATATGTTTTTGCAGTAAGGTTAATTTACTACCTTTATATGTTCTTGTTTCCAGTTCGGCGGTTCATGAGCCTCTTGGCTCGTTTGGACCGTACAAGCTCGAAAGCTTGTAACACAAAAACGTCAAAACGTCACTATCTCAGACGGTGAAATAATCGACCTTGTCTACTTGGCTTTTTCTTTTTTAGACTGAAAACATGAATCCTGACGAAGGTCACAGTTGGGATAGTTTAACGGCGGACCTTGTCGAGCGTGTTGTTAGCTTCCTGCATCCAAACGAGGTGGTATGTACCGTCAAGGAAATCAATAAGGCTATGGCGAGCCAGTTTCAGGAAAAAGTCGCTATCCGGTTGTCGCAGCCCGTACCCCATCACGCGTTCAACAGGCACTGGAGCCGCCCGGAAGCAGTTCACAACTTCACACGAAGTAAGCGCCGAGAGCTTGTAATCCTGACGGCCTGCAGCGGCAGCCTGGCCAACCTGCAGGTCGCCGTCAAGACAGCGGGCTTCCAGCTCTCCTGGGAGGTCTTCTACGCAGCAACCGAGGGTGGCAATCTTGAGATGTGCCAGTGGCTGCAGGAAGAAGACTGCTTCTTCTTTTCTGAGAAAGCGGCAGCAGCAGCTGCCCGAAGTGGCCATCTGGAAACGGTCCGGTGGCTACTGCAACAGGAGCTTTATTTTCGAGAGCTACGGAATGCTGGTTCCCATGCATTTATGGCAGCCGCCTATGACGGTCATCAGTTTGTGTGTGAGGGGCTCCTGGAGGACGGTATTCCGTTGGAACACTGGATGGGTCTTTTTGGTGCCGCCCGCGGTGGCCATGTGGGCCTCACACACTGGCTCCTTCAGCGATTTGAGCTAGAATACGGGTCAGTGTCGAGAGTCCTATGGTCGTTGATGCCCCATATTGTCAAGGAAGCTGCACATGGCTTCGACCTGGTGGCATTGCAGGATCTACACCAGACCTTCCTGAGGTATGGCGGTGATAGTGGCAACGATGCCAGCAGGCTGCTAACCGGCGACACCCTTGCGGAAGCCCTGGTGAGCCCCACCCCCGACTGGCGGGCCAAGGTGGAGTGGCTGCAGGCTCAAGGCTGCCGCCTCGATGGCGATCAGTACTTCGATTGGGATGCCATTGCCAGCCTTCCGGATGCTGTGGAGCGGGCACAGCGGCTGCTTGTGGAAGTAGAGGAAGAGGATGTCGTAGTAGATATCTTCATCAGCGCCGTACGTGTTGATAGCCTGCCCCTGATACGCTACTTGCGAGCGGGGAGGGACTGGCTTCCAGAACGCACGAAGGAGGCTGTGGTAAAAGCAGCCCGTGCCGGCAACATGGTGCTGCTGGTCGAGCTGGTGACCTTGGGCTGGCGGCTTGATGGGTGGACTGCGCAGGCTGCAGTTGAGGGAGGTCACCTGCACATTCTTAAATGGATGGGTGCAGGTGTTGTTCGGAAGCACATCCAGGAGCTCGAGCAGCAGCGCCGCCAGGCTGTGTTGAGTTATGCAACATCGTTTGGTAGTGTGGAGGTCGTGGAATGGCTGCTAAATGAGGTAGACTTGCCCTGGAGTGGAGAGAAGCTCCTTAATGCAGCGGTGACGGCAGGCAGTCCAGCAGTATTGGAGTGGCTTGTGGCCCGGGGCGTCCCCATGGGGGTGAGTGGCTCGCTTGCATGAGTTTGGGTGCATGTTCTTGATGCGTGCTGTTGGTGCTGCTCAGCTCTACTGCTCATCACTGAACGTATGCCACGCACTGTCTGGCGTCTGCTGGCGTCTTGGCCGATTGCGATGTGAAGGACCTCTCATTCTTGGCTTTCATCCGGTCTGCATCATTTCTGCTGCTGACCTCTGGACAGGATGGTAAAGGACCTGTCACTAGGTTTCCATTTGACTGTCTGATGGTCTGCATTTATGTAGTCGGAATGTAGTGGTGATCATACACTCTGGCGCACACAGTCAATTCATACACATGCTGGGAGCACATTTCCAGCATCTCGAGACGCCTTTTCAGCCGCCATCTATTACGGCTGTTTTCTCGGGAACCAGATTAATACACCTCGCTCGTTGCGATGTTGCAGGACGATGGTGAGCTTTACGTAACGGCAGCACACTGTCACGACCTGGTCATTCTGTGTTGCCTGAGGCGGCTAGGCTGCCCCTGGGGCCCCGGCGTCTTCAGCCGAGCAGTGTACGACAGGTGCCATGGCAGTACCGTAAAGGTCCTTCAGTGGCTGCACGCCGAGGGCTGCCCGGTGGACTGGGAGGAGGCCATGAGCCGGGCCAAGACCCGAAAAAATTTTTGTTTGAGGGATGAAAACGCTGTCGCTGTTCATGCCTGGATTGAGAGCATAGCGCCGAGTTAGCTGTTGGGACGAGCCAGGGGGGTCTACAATAGTAGCAGATGTGCGTATTAAGCAAAGCAAATAAACAGAAGCGAATTTCTGTGAGGGACAGGAAGATTGAAGACGGCGGGGAGCTGCAAGGGGATGATGGGGAGGGTTTACGATAGATGCCTGCTTGGGAAGTGGGAACCTGAACGTCTGGCAAGGATCCTGGAACGTATGTGGTCCCACCACAACTCTATCGTTCCCATTGGTCGTTAGTCTCCTCTATCACTTGCTTTGTCTGAAGTGCGAGGTAGGATGGTGCTTTTAGGCGACCTGGCAGCCCTTGAGCCCTTGGCTCGTATTGGGTGGTTTGCAGGTAGTACGGGAATGCACCTAAGACCATGTAATGTAATGTGTAATGTAATGTGTAACACACACACGCACTCACAGATGGCCTGATTGGAGTGAAGTGGAGGCGCAGCAGTGGAGGCGCAGCAGTGGAGGGGATCATAATGCAGCCATTCGCGTTTTTGTTCAAGGTGCCATACTGTGTACCAGCTGCTGCTACATTCCCCTCCTTTTGAAGGGATTCGTCTCGGGCCCTTACGGCCACATACACCAGCCTGTGCCTACCTTCTCCTACCCCCCTATTTCACACATCATACTGGCGGCCACGACCTACACTTTAGTCCAGCAACATGAGCGAGGGCTTTCCACATGAAGAAATGGTGTATGGTCTTGACATCGCCAGTCACCTGAACACACGTGCTACTACTTGTATGCTTCGGGTGCACGTGTCTACTGGGCTCAAGCGCACCGAAGCCGACAAAGGCGGTTCCAAGCACAAAGCCATGAGAGCCATTGGCGATTGCTCTCAAAGGGCTCACAATATTGTCTGTATGAATATGGATAACAATAGTTAATTTTGCAAGAGGCACACAGATAAGTGACAGCTGCAGAACGTTTGCCACCTTGCCGTTTTGTGATGATGTGGCGCCGATTTGAATTTGCAGCTGTGTGTCGTTTGTCGGCAACCCACCAAGTTCAGGCTTAACAACGGACTTCCATTTGCACTTCCCAACTTCGTCATGTGTGTGGCCGACTCCTTTAACGTGAAGGATTCCATACACACCGGGAAGCGCCAAAGGCCGTGGGGCTGCTGCGCATGACGGCATGAGATAGATATTTGTCATCGCTTCACAGCTTCCAAATTTCCTTCCTCAAACACGGCACCGTACAGGAGCTGCCGTAGTTCGATCATACATATAGTGACAGAACTGGAAAAACCGACTCGCCATGCATGACGGATATTCACTGTGTTGCCTGGTCAGTTCAGGAAGTGTATGAAGCCGGCGCCGACCAAAGGATCGTCACCGCACTTGGAGCGCATGTGCAGTCGTGTGTATAGGGGCCAAGTCCTCAAGCCAAGGAAGTGCAGTGGTGGCCTGAGCCCACGATACCGCTAAATAGGTCCACTATCCCTATGCATCTGTGGGGGCAGCAGGTCCACATCAAAGAGGTCGACACAGGTCAAGCTCACCAGAACGCATTCCCCCCAGGCTCGGTTTATGGAGGCCGTGCCAAACATCGTGGCTGCCCCGAGGACCTGGCAGCTGCTCCTGCTATTTGTCGCAGCTGCTATTTCACCATTTCAGGCTGCAGCTGACGATTAGGTTAGCTGCAGTTGCTGATGAAGTCGTTATGTTGAGAATAATAACATCATAAGGGTCGTTCTGGGCTTGGGTGACCCAGTTAGGTGTTTTGGCGTTCGTTCAGTTGCTCGTTAGTCGTTCGTTGGTCGCTCGTTGTGTTCAGCCCTCTGCAATGCTCAAGCAATCTCTCGTTCGTTCCATATCTCTCCATTTCGTATCTCTCAACTTAGGATTACGTTCTTGGTGCTGTTGCAACCGGTGATTTGTACAGAAGTATGCATTGAAGCCATGCCGTACCGCGCACTGTTCGGCACCCCAAGCTGGAAGCCCTAAAACGTATATTGTTCGGCCTTTTGGATTTACTGGAACTTCGCATCGTTTCCTTGGTAGCGCGTCACGTCGATGTCGTTTGCCTAGCATCGTCGCATCTTGCCATTATACAGTTGTTGTGCTGCGCTAATTCGCCAATCGAGTTAGTAAAATGCAGCTTCACGTGCGGCAGGTTGACCTCCAATGCCCAGTCCATGCAAAGAAGCGTTGGGTCAGCGCTCCTCTTAGGACTCGACAACATCCGAAAGCATGCTTCCAGCAGCAGCGCAAGCTGTCTGATGCTTATTTTCCTAAGCCGCACTCCAAAAAGTCTAATGGGAGCAATTTAGTTGTGCGGTCATCTGACGACAACAAAATTGGCGCAAAGACATACGCGCCAAAGACCGCCCCGTCTGACCGCGTATTGTCAATTTGGCGTCGAGTAGACGCTGTTTGCTTTGATGTCGACTGTGAGTAACTCTGCCGGTGCCCAACGCGCCAGCTCTGTGTGCACTTTTGCCGATACCAAGGAAAACATTCGATTGAGCAATTTCCAGGTCGGGTCATAACGTAACCTCAGCATGCACTACTGCCGGCAGAAGAAGGAGGAAATAGAATTGCACTTGCATGGAATTAGGATGTATCTCCGTCGCCAGTCTTGTCATCACTCCTTCTCCCCTCCTGGCGGTTAGGGGGCCTTCACGACCTGCACAAAGACCACAATCCACTCTTGGCATCGCCGCTCACCCCTCCACTCCACTCTATGCAAACCCCTACCAGCATCATCCAAACGCATAACCCCCTTTCTCCCCTTTTTTCCGCTCCCCTCCCTCTGCTCCCCTCCCTCTGCTCCCCCTCTCCACACACACACACACACACACACACACACGTACACGACCGCCCTCTTCCCTCCCTTCCCTCCCCTCCCTCCCCCCACCTACCCCCAAAGGCACCATCACCGTCAATGACTCCCTCGACCTACTGGCCGAGTTCATGGGGGTCAAGGACCAGGTGCAGGAGCTCACCAACAAGGTGGGTGTGCTGATTGGGGCCCGAGAGAAGAGGGAGGGGGGGAGGCAAAAGGAGAGGGAGGCAAAGGGGGAGGGAGGCAAAGGGGGAGGGAGCCCCTCTCCAAGCGCCTCCCACTCCTCCTCCCCTTGGGTGGGAAAGGGAACAGGTGGAACCTCCCACCCCACCCACCACCAGCATAGCCACAACTCCGGTCCCTCCTAAACAACGGCCTTCCCCACCGGGCTCTGCTCCCCACTCCCTCAACCCCCGCTTTGCAAGTCGCGCGTCGACATATGAGTGATCCCATACCCCCCATTCCCCAACCCCTTAACCCCCAAACCCGCTCAGGCCATGGACGGCTCCCTCTCCCTGGAGCGCGCGCTGGATGAGCGATTGGCCATCATCAACTGCGCCCCCCGGGATATCAAGAACTTCATTGCGGCACACCCGCCCGCGTCTAGACTGGCGCCGGTGTGTGTGTATGTATGTATGTATGTATGTATGTATGTATGTATGTATGTATGTATGTATGTATGTATGTATGTATGTATGTATGTGTGTGTGTGTATGTACTGTGTGTGCGTTTGGGGAAGGAGGGGATGCGAGGCCGGGACAGGCGGGCATGAGGGCGGACTGAAAAAGGGGGGAGGGATTGGGGGTGTTGGATTTGGGGGTGTGGGGTTGCCGGCTGCTGTGGTGGTGGATGGGGCGCTAGACTTGAGGGAGGGAGCCTCTGGTGATTGTCGGAGGGACAGACAAACAGACATACGTGCAGCCGGATAGGTGGTTTAGGTCCTCCCCCCTCCCCCCCCTCCCCCCCTTCCCCCCCAGGGCATCAAGGAGCTCATCACCGCCCTCCAGGCCCGAGGGGTGGCTATCTACCTTATCAGCGGAGGATTTAGGTGCGTATGTATGTATGTATGGGGGAGGAGGGAAAGGCAAGGTGGGGTTTGGTTGAGGGAGGGCGGGAAGAAGGGAAGGGGGGAGCTCAAGGAGGAAGG